GACGTTGAAGACCCGTTCTGACTCTTCATGGTGAGCCGCGAAGACCTGTTCGCGACCCCTTCATGGTGACGTTGAAGACCCGTTCTGACTTCTTCATGGGTCATGCTGCTGAAGACCCGTTCTGGACTTCTTCATGGGTCACGCTGCCGAAGACCCGTTCTGACTCTTCATGGGCCAGCGCCGGTCGTCTCGAACCTTCGCAATGAAGACCCGTTCTGACTCTTCACGGGTGACGTTGCGGAAGACCCGTTCCTCGACTCTTCACGGGTGACGTTGCGGAAGACTCATTCTGACTCTTCACGGTGACGCCATGAAGACCCGTTCCTGACTCCTTCATGGGTGACGCTGCTGAAGACCCGTTCTGACTCTTCATGGGTCACGTTGCTGAAGACCCGTTCTGACTCTTCACGGGTCACGTTGCTGAAGACCCGTTCTGACTCTTCACGGGTCACGTTGCTGAAGACCCGTTCTGACTCTTCACGGGTGACGTTGCTGAAGACCCATTCCTGACTCTTCATGCGGTGACGTTGCTGAAGACCTGTTCTGACTCTTCACGGGTCATGCTGCTGAAGACCCGTTCTGACTTCTTCATGGGGTCACGTTGCTGAAGACCTGCTGTTCTGGACTTCTTCATGGGTCACGTTAAGCGAAGACCCGTTCTGACTCTTTCACGGGTGACGCTGTTGAAGACCCGTTCTGACTCTTCTTCACGGGTGACGCTTGCTGAAGACCTCTTTCGGAAGCCTTCACGGTGGCGATGCTTCAGGACCTCTCTGACTATTCATGGGTGAAGTTGGAAGTGGTGAAAAATATTTATTTTATTTGCACTTTTGAAATGATCAAAGAATGATCGGTGGCGATGCAAAAAATAGACGATCGAACAGTTAAAGATAATTCATTCATTGATTATCTTAGAAAATGAATCTGTCAAAGAAAATGTTAATATATGCAATTTGGACGGAATACGCTAATCAATGTGTACAAAGTGCAGTTACATGTTTGAAAAGGGTATCCAAACGTTTAGCCGATAATACGTTTGATTGATTTATCATTGCTGTATAAATAATGTTTAACAAACAGGTAATGGGAGAAGTTGCCACTGTGTGCTATCTCAGCTGAATTAAGCATAGAAGAAATGTAACTGAGGATTTTGATCTGTACTTTCGGCCATATGGAGGAGTCATATTATCTCAGACAACGGTAGCATGCTGGGCGGGTATTTCCACCAGGTGTTAATAACGAGTTTCTGTATTTAGTGCAGAATTAGTTTGCATGTATGTAATATTGATTGCCAGTGAAAGCGGTTACTTTCTGAAGATTGACTGACCTTCAGCAACCCTTGTTGGTTGTAAGAGGCGACTAACGAAATTGGATGGTCGGACTCGCTGATTTGGGCTGACACACGTCATCGTGTTCCAACCGACAAGATCGATGCTCATCTTGTTATTCAGTCAATGTTTACAGACTGATGCAGCTTGAATATTGTTGAGAGCAGCGTTGAATAACAGGGGATATGGCTGAGAATTTACCAATTGTTTTGAGATGAGTGAGTATTCCAGCAAGATCAGGGCGGGGGACACCAAAATAGGCTTCACTCATTGAACTCATGTGGGAATCGAACCCGGGTCTTTGGCGTGACGAGCGAACGCTTAACCAAATAGCTACCCCACAGCCCCCCTATTGGAATGAGAATTGGGTGGACAGACAATGTTAATTAAGGGCTTGTGTGTTAGCGTGCTGTCAGCCATCGTTTAGACTGGCAAAAGGCTTGATCATTTACAGCTGGCTGAGATAGGAGTTTGGTTTAATGCCAATTTAAACACTGCAGGTTGTGAGCATTGCTGTTATATCACGTCATGTGAGCCCGATGTGGGGGGAACACCCTGAAGTGATGCACGTATCAGACATTAGACATCTTTGTGGGAACGCACCAGCACGCGTATGTGCCTATCTACTGTGATGCAGCAGTAATATTGAAGTACGCGGGATTAAATATGGTCTCACTTTAGGCAAGTGAGTTTGTTCATGAATTGCCCCTGTTCAACCAGCAGAAAATGGGTACCCGGTGGATAAGTCATGTGACTGTTAACCCTCTAGCGCCTCACAGGCAGCTTGGGTTAATATCCGGGGTAATGAATGTGTTAGCACCTTTGAGATGCACAGTGCTTGGAAACAGGCGCTCTATATAAACAGCCATTATTGTTATTTACCCGTTATATTACAAGTGGTCGCAAAACAAATAATATTGATTATAATTATTCACTTTTAGGCTGGATAAACATGTAACTCGCATCACCGTTATCTCATGACTGTTATTTGTAATTTCTGAGCTGAGAATACCTCTCTTGTACACATGGTTTTCATCTTTATCTCTACGAATCAATGAAACTGATGTGACACAAGCTAGCCTCAACTCAAGAACCTTTTTCTATCTATCTTCAAGTTGTTTCAATTGTTTTACGATGACTGCCTTAAACCTATCGGCAAGATATACCCATAACAGCTGCATCACTCGGGTATTTGTGGTCTTGACGCTTTAAGTTTAGATGATTGTAAGCCATTAAAATAAGACATTTTTGTAGATATTTGGCAAGTTTACATACACAAGTGGTAACAAATCATAGGCGGATCCAGAAGGGTTAAAGTGTAGCAGGGGTGCGCCCACCCCCAGCCCCTTTGTGCTGAAAGTTTGTCAAATGACCATTGAAACTCGGGTGAAAATGAAGTGTACCCTCCTTTTCTCAATATAGTGCACCCCTTTTCAAAAAAAGCTGTATCCGCTCCTGCAAATTTATGAACATTTTCTGATCATTCACGTCCTTCTTCCAGTGTAACCCCGGCCTGGGGTGGACATCATGTACAAGCACCTGTACTCCCCTGCACCACAAAGATCCTGATCCTCGGGATGGTTGTTTGGGGTGAGCGAGGCCACGGGGCAGTCCTCACATCTGTGGAACCTTGTACAGGTACGTGGTTCTTAGATGTACCATTATCGGCTTTCGACGTTAGCAAAGAAGGTGGAACTGGATCTGATAAAGCCTCAGAAATACAACATCACCTCGAGACACTGTATAAGTTCCACGACTAAGTACTCAGGGTAATAGAAATAAAATTGTTTGGGGCTTTTATTGGTTTATTACTTCATAAAAATAGGTAGTTGTAAGAAATATGTTTTTTTTCTTAAGTAGGCCTTTTAATTTGGTCCTCTAATCATCATCTAAAATACCATTTTACAGGTAAAAATAACAAAAAATTGCCTGTTGTCAAGAACTTTACAAACATATTATAACTTACGTCACAAACAACAATGGGTGGTATCACCTGCCTGCTGCACTGTTTAGAGGGGAAGATGTATTTGCACGTGCGTTGCCATAGCGATTGTGCAATTGACAATCAAAGCTATGAATGAACTCGTAAAAACTGTAAACGTTCAACAAGAGCACAGGAATGAAAAATGTACTGAGAAAATCCCTAAATCAGTTATTTTGTACATCAATTAGGATCACAAAATAAAGGATGAATGGTATATAACGTTTTCCATAAGGTATAGTTTGTACGCGAACCTATGGAGAGTACATCTCATTTGCATACTATAGCTTGCATCAGAAACGTTCATTTTGACTTTGATGGAATTTCAAGGGGTAAAAATGACACGATTTGTTCTCCTAGGCCCTTATTCTCTAAACGTTCGTAGCCCTAAGAATTCTTAACTTTGATCGTAGCCAATGTGTTAAGAATGGGTTTAAGAAGTTCGTAGGACTACGAACGTTTCGAGAATAGCTAGCCTGGAAGCTCATCTATTTCGGATGATTTTACAAAAAGCGTTAAAAACAAAAGTTGGAAAAAACGATAGTCATAGAATATTTAACAATGAAACTTTAGTTGTGTTCAAAACTGCGAAATGAACGCTAAAAACCATTGTATTTCTATTTCCGTGATTACTCTAGTGCTGTAGAACAGAGATAAGGTATGATTCCGGAATAGATAATACACACGTTGAAAATTAAGTTGTTTACCACTCCTTCACTACTTTAACCCTCCGCCATTAGCCTAACATATATCGGAGAGGACACCAGAAATGGGCTTCAGGTGACGTTTTGGGTGTTTAACTACTTGATAGGATATGTTAAATAGTTGCGTCACTACGACATCAGTATTGCAATAGGATTGTGTGTAACCATCAACAACCTGCTTGGCACATGTCATCGTATCCGAGATGCGTAGATAGCTGCTCATGATGTCAATCACTGGATTGTCTGGCCCAATCTCGATTATTTACAGATCGCATCATCTAGCTGGAATATTGCTGAGTGAGCGTTACCAAAGAAGCATATAGTATTGCAATAGTCTAATGCAGGCGTTACATATGACACTCCTTGTTCATTCAATGTGCGGTAAATACAGGCCTCCTTGTATTTGTTGCACAACAATATAATGAAGTTCAACATGCCCTACATGTAAAGTTTCTGTAGGATTGTTCAAGTACACCTTATGGTTGTTCGATATAAATTGATGGACGACTTCTCAGTAGACACCAATAAGTCTAAAAGGAATTTGTGTTTGGTTACGAATAATTGGCAATGGAAAGGAAAACCAGTGCTACTTTTAGCTCATATTTATTGAGGTTATAAGTGTAAGTGCGGGGCATCAAGGAGTCATTTGTATTTTAACTCGTCCATACAAAACCATAGACCTTTGTAATTTCATATGCAGTGGAGTGAGTGAGTATCGTTTTACGCCGCTTTTAGCAAAATTCCAGCAATATCACGAAGCGGGACACCAGAAATGGGCTTCACACATTGTACCGATGTGGGGAATCGAACCCGGGTCTTCGGCGTGACGAGCGGACGCTTTAACCACTAGACTACCCCACCGCCCCACATAAGCGGCGGAACCTCGTTAATCCAAACAGAGCCCAAGGGAATCTGTCGAGTGGAGAACAGGTTTCTGTATTAGTAGATGTATTTTCAGTTATTATTAACACTACCCCTTCTTTCCAGATGTCGTACGTGTCTGTTTCCCCATCCCTATCCGATAAGAAGAGGTTTCCACGTTTCGTCCGTTCTAATTCCCCGGACGTGGATGTCAACCCGGCTCGGGTGGAGATCTTCAAACAATTCGGCTGGTCAAACATCGCCACGCTGCACCAGTCCTTTGAACTCTTCTCAGTGGTCAGTGACTTCGAGTGACCTCCATCATTTCGAATATGAGTTATGAGTTATCATTTGATAAAGCCACCAATCACTAAATGCTAAACGTTTAATGAAAGTATTTTCCATTGGATCGTAATAGTGCCACATTTTGAAATATTATCTTAGACATAGAAGATATTTTCGGATCTACTCTCGCAGAGAAAGGCACCTAATCGTCAACACACAAAGTCAGCGATCTAGACTTATCTTCCACCACCGACAACTGATAGTCTAGATGACGGACTCCCTCTGACATGTGTAAACTGTCGCGACTCCCAAAACCGAAGCTTTGAATACACAATGCCTTTAAGAAAGCGGTTCATGGTACAAGAATCTATACTTTAGTGAAAAAGTCTTTGTCACTTTCCAATAAGCATTGTGTATTCACTGACTCTGACATTGTTTCGTTAAGATACGAGTCGCGATTGATATAGTTAATGCAAGCATATATATTTAAAAAAAAGGTTATTATTCATGTACCGCAATTTTATTTGGGTGAGCATGCTGATGGGTTTTTTCGGTCTTTCTAAACTTTTACAGCACATTTAGAACGGTTCAAATAATCCAACTCAAGGTTTTTAAATAGATTATATATAATAAAAAGCAACAAAAAAAACTTCATAGAATGATCCTGCAGAATTGTTAATCAGCGCTCCATATCAATTAGATAACGGCTCTATATAGTTTGAATGATTCTCCACCATTTATGTTCACGTTTCCCTTCTTCAACCTAATTTCCGTAATGGAGAAATTATACAAATTGACAGATGCGTGGGATTTCTCCGACTTGATTGATTGCCATGGCATGGTTGATGTTTTATTTGGGTTAAATGTTGCTTAATGATCTGTGGTTGCTTCCGTTTTATTTGCACAAAATGCACGTGCAGAATACCTGGGGACTTCCTGGTTCAGGGACAGACACAACAACAATAGCTCGGAGACGTGATAATGGTTTGACCCACTTCATTCACGAATTTTGAATAATCTTAAAACTAAGTCAATTTTGTTATTTAAAGAAACATTAGCACTTCCGTCTATTCATATTGCCGTTATAAGAGGGTCCAGCGTGGATCACACACTTTCGTATATTCATCTTGCCGTTATAAGAGGGTCCACCGTGGATCACACACTTTCGTCTATTCATCTTGCTGTTATAAGAGGGTCCAGCGTGGATCACACACTTTCGTATATTCATCTTGCCGTTATAAGAGGGTCCAGCGTGGATCACACACTTTCGTATATTCATCTTGCCGTTATAAGAGGGTCCACCGTGGATCACACACTTTCGTCTATTCATCTTGCTGTTATAAGAGGGTCCAGCGTTGATCACACACTTTCGTCTATTCATCTTGCTGTTATAAGAGGGTCCAGCGTGGATCACACACTTTCGTCTATTCATCTTGCCGTTATAAGAGGGTCCAGCGTGGATCACACACTTCCGTATATTCATCTTGCCGTTATAAGAGGGTCCAGCGTGGATCACACTTCTGATCATATGTCGGCCGCCACAGCCCCACGTTGCTGTTTTTAGGCTTTTAAACTCATTAGGATATAAATGGTTTGGAATACATATTGATCCATTAACAGACGGGTGCAACACTATGCTACCAACATTTTAATGTAACACAATCATAAAAAAATTGATCATTTCGGTTTATCTAAGCTATGTTAAAATTCCAGTCTAATTTCCTAGTACTGACGGTTTATACTGATATGGCCCACGAGCTCGTGCATTGGATGCTAATACATACACTTACTTCATAGAGAATTACCTCCATAAAGACATACCAATCAAGAGCGTAGAAGAAATCGGTTATTATTCATTAAGCCAGAGGTAATATAAATTGGCCCGGAATTAATGTCTTATTACTCGAGACGGTAGTTATAATCCTTCGTTCTACTTGTGGTATCATTTATGTAGGTGAAAGTATCTTCTACGTAAATGTCTCAGCATCTTCGTATATGATCTTTTGTCAGAATCTGGCACTAATATGCTCACACATTTGTTTGCAAGGAAACTGATTTTTTGGCAGTGTTAAATATTTAAAAAATATCAAACCAACAACATTATAATATTTAAAGGTTATTGGTGGAGTGTGAATGTGTGTAATTTAGTTAGATGTTGCACCACTGTGAACATTATTTTAGTTGAAGGAAATCCAAGTTCTGTGTATAGTCAACTTCTCTATTGCAATGAGTGGGACATTTCGGTGTAGACACTAACACCGTTGCAATAAAGAAGTTGACAATCCACAGAACTTAGTTTTCCTGCATCTATACAACTTCTAAAATGCCTCTAGTATTTTAGTTATATAGGACTTGTGTGGGTGAATCAAAGGTTTGATTTGAATGCGAACGTGGGACAATTGTTTTCTGTATTACCAACAATCCAAACTATTAACGCTGCAATCAATATTCATGTTTCAACATACATTATGGCACCACACTGCCAATCAAACCTTCAATCTTATACCGGTGTTAGTGAATTTATTTACACATGAATTGTCTCTCAGTATTGACTCATGTCATTCAGATGTCATTGTGACAACGTAGCGATTAAAAAACCATACATATCTGAAAAAATGCCACTCCCAATTCCTTGACGCTTCAGGGAACAAGATTCAGCAGCACATGCATATAATGGAAAAATTGTACAATTCCTAGTTATATATTTAATGCTTTTAACATGTTCCCTATGTCTGTATGTATATGCTTATAATCATATTTATGCTTCTCATATCATAGTGTATTTTATCATTGTACATGGTTTTAACAGATAGTCTCTCATAACTCCAAATGGAGTGGCTCATGTATTCTTTTTGTATATTATGCTGTATCATTTTATGGCCATGAGGTGAGACTCTATTAAATAATCTGTCTGCATAGATGATGCGTATTATAATCTGACAAGTATTCCGCGTCCATCTCTATGGTAGTTGCGTCTAAACTCCATCAGTTGTACGGAAGTCTCCAGGCTATACTGCTACCATGACGGAAGCTTCTTGACCAAGTGTACAATCTAGGGCATGGCATGGGATGTGGGGATGTGTGACCGGGTGCTGGTGTGAGTGTTAGCTTTGTTAAAAGTATCGAGTTTGGTTAGCAGATTGATAACCAAGAGTTTCTCACATTTTCCGTACAGGGAATTGACAAAACAGGATGTTTGACCCTAGTTCCGTTCCATTACTGGACGTGACATATTTGATAAGATGAACCTACCCTGTTCATTTCGTGCTGGAAAATACAAATATTGATTTTTGTAGCAGGTTACCAAAACACGTGGGTCGTCGTTTATTTGTCAACATACATTGTGATTATGTTTAGTCTTACAGCGTAATATTGATCAACGCATGAAATGACATTGGATTGATTGTGTTTACCATCATAACACAAACGTTGTAACTAACTGTGGTAGGTGTATACAGTTCGACTATGCAATGATGCAGTGAGTGGAAGTCTTAGTAAAATATCTTTGTACAAAATCTGTTCGTTCACAGCCAACAGAGGATCTGATGGTTCGTCTGAAAGAAGCCAACATGACAATTGTGAGATCTGAGATTATCACAGGAAGTCCAGCAGTACAGATCAAGGCTCTTTGGGTAAAGTGATGGTGCCCCTGTATACCACTATAGTCACGGGCCCGTGAAGATCCGGGTTAGCATTGATCTTCAGTAACCCATGCTTCTCGCAAGATGCGACTAGCGGCATCGGGTGGTCAGGCTCGCTGACTTGATTGACACATGTCATCATATCCCACTTACGTAGATCGATGCTCATGCTGTTGATCACAGGATTGTCTGGTCCAGACTCGATTATTTACAGACCGCCGCCATATAGCTGGAATATTGCTGACTGCGGCGTAAAACTTAACTCACTCACTATAATCACGGATATACCTATGGGCACGGATATATCTAGAGAAGGTTCAGAACACAGAGCAGCAATGTTCATGAATAAACTGACGAAGACATGTTATTCAATGGTTTCTTACAAGTACATATTCCCTTTGCCATTTACATTTGCATTGCTCTTTTGAAAGGAAATGGGCTGTGCGTGTGTGTGTGGCGGGGTGGGTGGGGGTGGTTGGGGGTTTCCATGTCAAACCAAATGTCAGTAAGTATGATTAAGAGTACAATTTACCAACGTCGTTTCACGAATAAGTGAGTTAGTGAGCTTGGTGTTAGCAATATCCCAGCAGTATCATGGCGGGAGACACCAGAAATGGGCTTCACACATTGTGCCCATGGTGGAAATAGAACCCGGGTCTTCGGCGTGATAAGCGAACGCATTAACCACTTGGCTACCCAACCGCCCCTTCACGTATGAGAATAGGTATCACGTAAGATATTTATTGACAAACATAAATGCATTGCATATTTTCAATGCCTACATTTATAAGTCTTACGATGAAGAAGAGGGTGTAAGTAGCATATTGGTTCATACGTTGCGCCAAAGGTACGGGTTTGAATCCCTACACGTATGTGTGGGTCCTTTTCTCACTGTCTCCTGGCGTGACATGACAGTGATGTTGATTATACGTACATATCGGGGTCACTTTCATGTAGCATTAACTAGATGCTTGATTGGCATTTTAGAATATGCTATTTGATGAACATATAAAAATTTCTGGATTTCATCTTCTTTTGTTCCTAATGATGGGTCCGGAACAGTGTCCGAAACGTTGTATCAAAGAATGAAAGTAGCATAAAGTGTTCTTTTAGTGAAATTTGGTGCTTGTTTGGGTTTTGGTCGTTTTTAAAATTAGTTTTTCCTTAGTTCCCATTTCTTGACAAGTCGTTGATTGGGATATTTCAAAGTAACTGCGATTAATTTTTTCTCAAATGTATTCTTGTAATTTCAATTATTTTTTCATTGCATCAAAATTTCGAGTAAATGGAACATACTTGAAGTGACGCGAAAATAACAGCAAAGAAATCGGAATTTCGAAAAAGTAATCAAAATTATCATATGTGATCAAAGTAGCGAAAGGACCTCGAAATTTCAATATATACAAATAATTGAAAATCTCATGACATTTTGACCATGTAACGAAACTGGCAAAAAATGGGTTGTGGGATATACGCACCCTGAGGCAAAAGAGTGCATGTCTAATTTACCTCCTTCTCGACACAAAGCCTAATTTTGGTTTGTATATCATCCACTTCACTTGATTTGTCTTCATCATAATCTCCTACACATCATCATTAGGAAAAAATCATTTTGTGCTCTCAGAATACAGTAATTGAAAATATCTGAAAGTCCATCAACAGGTTAACGACCACGTCCATCTTAATGGCCCTTGTCCTTGTCCATTGATGCTGTCTCACAGTAAGCCTTGAGCTATCGACTGGGAACTTACTGAAAATAATAAACATGAATTATTACTTGTGATACCTATCCCTAATAACACCATTGATGTCATCGCAGAGTCTATGTCATTAGGTACTATTTACAGACAGATTCGTTTGTAACATCTACTTACATGACGTGTATGTGTTTATATGGAAAACTTTAAGGCCATTTATTTACTTGTTTATTAGTTTGTTTGTTTTGGTTTTTTTTGTCTAATCGTTCATTCAATCATATATTCATATATTTATTTATTTTATTAATTTTTGTATTTTTGTTATTATTATTTTTTTCAAAAATATTTTAGGGGTTCAAGATATTTTGTTGAAATGTAAATTGCTCTTACCAAGAACGTTTGTAATGAACCACTGTAAAGGACTAACGAAACCTGTCAACGATATAAACGTACTCCGAGGTTGCTCATTAACTTGAAATGTCAACAAAACACCTTGAATTTTCAAAATAAAACCTTAACGTTTCAACCTCCCATGATAAATGTTTTTTTAAAACGCACAGAAAAGGTATTAAACCAAATGACCCAAAAACGTTTCCGGACGTTATTCAAAAGACATTTATTTTTCTTGCAGGATGCTGATGTGCGGATCATTGTGGGCAGTTTTTACGAAAACATGGCACGACAGGTGTTTTGTGAGGTATAAAAACTTTGCAAATAAGCAACATATACACAGCATTAGGTTGACTTCAAATAGTCTTTAAAATCTTTAAATGATGGCGTTTCAATATGATAACATTTGTATATTATAAATAATGTTTATTCGGTTTCATCTGGGGAATTCTCTCTGCAACAATTGAGTCACAAAGTACGCCAAAATTGATAAATGTATTGTTATATGTTGTAAATTTTATATTCAAGTGTTAGTATTGTGTTGAGATCATTCGACTCCTAAGAAGGAGCATTCAACAAAGCAAGTAAGTGCCCCTAATAAACATCAAACATGATACGTACATGCCAATTTTGGATGATTCGTCAGACAAAAAAAACTTCAATTATTGGTGAATTTTGTGAATGGCGGGTGCTCCCGAAGGGCTGGACATGCTTACCCTTCGTGGACACCTGGTGTCATCACTGATTTTCAGTGATCCATTCTTATAATATTCACAGCTAGCTTGCCACCAAAGTGGAATTTGTTTCTGAGCATAGTCAAGACTATGTTCTGGATATTCTTTGGCACTGCAGTTCTATATTTAACTGACCGACATACCTCAGCAATATATATATAGTAGCACTTTACAAGTTCTTTTGTGAACACATGTTTATGAAACCAAATGTTATCTTTGGGGATTTAAACATTGCTACATTGATGGACATGGAACAGGACAGGAAATCCCGGATGAGATTTGGTCACGTGTCAAGATGACACCATTATCAACCAGAAGTGTGAGGGTGTCTGCCAGTCCCGTCGTTGTTGTGACGAGTGTATCATCAATATTATTTCTTCTGCCGATCCACTAACATACCAGGAAACGCAGACAATGAGCCTATGTGTTACCATTCTCGTCAATCAGGTGCATCGTGAGATGGCTTGCATTATGCAGGTATCCCCTGAGGAAACATTTAACATCATTCCGGGGGGATTCCAAAGCGGTAATACTTGACTTACTTTTTGTGTCACCGTATCTCAGGAAACATTTAACATCATTCCGCGGGGATTACTATGCGTAATATTTGACTGACTAAACGTGTCACCGTACTGCGACGGCGTGGATCGTTGTTCATGACGTCAACCACATGTCATTTTGACCTCATTATGCACAGGGGCGGTGAGGGTAGCCTAGTGGTTAAAGCGTTCGCTCGTAAGGCCGAAGACCCGGGTTCGATTTCCGACATGGGTACAATGTGTGAAGCCCATTTCTGGTGTTCCCCGCCGTGATATTGCTGGAATATTGCTAAAAGCGGCGTAAAACTGAACTCACCCACTCATTCATTATGCAAAGGCTGCTAAAACATATAAGCTGATACAAATATAATGTATCTGCTTATTGGCATCTGATGGATATATTTGTCGCTTGAACTGAGTGACTGAATATGGTTTTACGCCGCCTTTTAGCAACATTCCAGCAAAGTCACGGCGGGTTGTAGCTTGGAATGTACCACAGGGTCTTCACCGTTGACATTGGGATAGCACCTGCATTTATAATGTAACGAAAGATGGATGTATATGAGACGCTAAACCCCGCGTCATACACTGCAGGTCCGACCAGAGTAAGATAAAAAGGATTTATATAGCCTTGACGACAAGCAGCTGCAATATTAATCCTGCTGTGGAAAGTGATCTCTGGCTTTGGTATTGTACAACATGGGATCAGTGTTAGGTTATGACGAGTCGAAACAATGATCACATAAATATTCCATTTGTTCCTCGGAGTTGCCGTAATAGGATCCGGTTGTGCTGGTTCGAATCCAAGTTGCACTCCGATTATGCTCCTTGGTCTGTGTGCGGCAAATTCCTTCTCAGTGTTCACTTTCACATAGTAACACATATATATCTTAGACCCACTCCACTTTATTTTCTACGTTCTATTAATCTAAGAGGGGCGGTGGAATAGCCTAGCGGTTAAAGCGTCCGCTCGCCACTCTGAAGTCTTGGGTTCGATTCCCCACGTGGTTATAACGTGTGAAGCCCATTTCTGGATTCCCTGTCGTGATATTGTTGGAATATTGCTAAAACCGACGTAAAACCATACTCACTCAATTTGAAAAGTTTATAATTGAATCAAAAGGACTAACACACCTTCCTCTCACACACAGGCTTACAAGGTGGGACTTTACGGCAGTAAGATCGTTTGGGTGATCAACGGCTGGTTCGACGACTTCTGGTGGCTTGTTCCCGACGCCAGCGTGGACTGTACGCCGGAGGAGATGTCGCGAGCAGTAGAAGGCTATATCGCTGTCGACAGACTCTACATCAGCCCTATAGAGATCCCCGCTATCTCCGGCATCACCCCCTCACAGTATCTGGCTATATACGCCAACAGGACCAACAACGTCAACTACCCTGGCACCAAGGCCGCACCCATGGGATACGACTCCATCTGGGCCCTGGCTTTAGCTCTCAATGACACCCTCACGGAACTTATTGATACTGGTGAGAGAAATGCGGATTTATTTTCATGGGATAATAATAATAATAATAATAATAATAATAGGACCATATACAACCTCAGAAGAATTCCTGCCAACAAACCTAATCTTGTCCTTTTTGATAAAGACAATGAATATATTTATATCATTGAATTTTCTGTCCCTTTTGACAGCAATTTGACTGGCAAGATTCAGGAAAAGCGTGATAAATATGCGGACCTTGCCTTTGAAATGTCTCGCTTGCATCCCAAGTACACTGTCGTCAGGCTCCCCATTGTTCTCGGTGCCCTTGGTTTGGTACATCCTGATCTCTTGGCGCAGATCAGGAGAGTGCCCGGGTTCTCCACCGGGAGCACAGCCCTTCTGACACTCTGGGTAATGCAGAAGACTGCAGTGTTGGGGAGCCTTCATATTCTCCGGAAAGTTCTTGGTGGGTTCGACTAGGCAGTGTTTCCTGGGAGAAGTCCCATTCGCTGTCTGGGCTGCGTGTAGAGGGGGCGAGGGCCCTGAGCTGATGATGAGCCTTACCATCCTGACTGTGCCAGGATCACCCGAACCCTCTCTGCTGCATTTTCATCTTTAATCTGTAAAACATAATACAAACGATTTCTATAGCGCCTTATTTGCTTATTTAAAAACACTCTAAGGCGCTTCACATATATAATACTGTGTGGTGATATACAGGTGGTATACAAGTGATGCTAAAAGATAAAATATTAAAAGCATGGTAAAACACATACAAGAAGGAGTAGAACTCTACAATGTAAATATGTACATGTATTGTAAACAAAATAATTTCTCATATAGCCTGTGGGTAGATTAATAGCTAACGTACTGACTTGTCTTTTGGTTTCGATTTCCAACATGTTTTTATTGTGTGGAGACGATTCTTCATGTACTCCAGAATGGTATCACCGGATACCGTTGTACACAACGCTACCTTGTTAGGGCATAGAGTGTCTTTGCGAGGATTGAAGATAAAAATAAACTGAGATGACCCCCGACTCGAAATGCTTCACAGTCGAGTCTGGAGTCATCTCATTTAATTTTTTTAATCTTTAATCCTCGCAAAGAGACGAGGGCCGTGTTGGAGGGTTGGAGTGTTGGAGTGTTGAGATAGCTTTGCACAGGTAATATTCAAGGCGGCTTAAAATCTATTCTCTGAAATCGCAATGTACATGCTGATGCTCTGTGTGTTGATGTCCTGTACATGCTGATGCTCTGTGTGTTGATGTCCTGTACATGCTGATGCTCTGTGTGTTGATGTCCTGTACATGCTGATGCTCTGTGTGTTGATGTCCTGTACATGCTGATGCTCTGTGTGTTGATGTCCTGTACATGCTGATGCTCTGTGTGTTGATGTCCTGTACATACTGATGCTCTGTGTGTGTTGATGTCCTGTACATGCTGATGCTCTGTGTGTTGATGTCCTGTACATGCTGATGCTCTGTGTGTTGATGTCCTGTACATGCTGATGCTCTGTGTGTTGATGTCCTGTACATGCTGATGCTCTGTGTGTTGATGTCCTGTACATGCTGATGCTCTGTGTGTTGATGTCCTGTACATACTGATGCTCTGTGTGTTGATGTCCTGTACATGCTGATGCTCTGTGTGTTGATGTCCTGTACATACTGATGCTCTGTGTGTTGATGTCCTGTACATGCTGATGCTCTGTGTGTTGATGTCCTACGCTGATGTGGTTTGGGCAATGCTGCTCCTCATCGTCTATCCCCGTGGCTAGAACTGATCTTCAGTAACTCAAGCTTGTCGTAAGAGGCAACTAACTTCTGGACCAGATAATCCAGTGATCAACAGCATGAGCATCGATCTACGCAATTGAGATACGATGACATCTGTCAACTACGTCAGTGAGCCTGACCACCCGATCTCGTCAGTCGCCTCTGACGATAAGCATGGGTTATTGAAGATCAATTCTAACCGGATCTTCACGTGCATATACGCTCTGGAGACACCTTAAACAACTTCACTATGTTGACTGTGCACGCTGTTGTCACAACTTCTGCATCAAAAACACATTGTGCATGCTGTAAGCACAACTTGAGCCACTACATTACATTGTACACGCTACAGACACAACTTGAGCCACTACATTACATTGTACACGCTACAGACACAACTTGAGCCACTACATTACATTGTACACGCTACAGACACAACTTGAGCCACTACATTACATTGTACACGCTACAGACACAACTTGAGCCACTACATTACATTGTACACGCTACAGACACAACTTGAACACAATTTGAAATTGAAAAGTACACCGTGACACCTCGTTTGTACAGTCGGGACACCTCGTGTCCTCGTTTTCTTCCCCTCTGGCATATACGTTGACAATACACAAATGTTTGATGGATAAAAATCTAACTGACAATTCGTGGTTCTTCGATGGTGATGTATGTGATCTCGATACCATCGTTGTGTTTGGACATTACATTTACAAGGTTCTGCCGACTGTTTACAGATTCTTGTTTTAACGTATGCAACAATAAGTACTGTATACTTAATATCATATGTAAGGGTTTTTACTTTCTTTAGCCATGTCCATTATGTTCCTAAAATAATCGACCCTTTTTTTATGAAGGACATAACTTTGCTTCGTCTGAGGAATTAAAGAATAAGTTACATCTTTGCTAGTATATTTCGGTTGGTACAGATGTGGACGAAGGTCAACTCTGTTGTCTCGAAACCTTAAAATTGTTTCAAACAGCAAAAACACGTCATTCCATTAAAGACCTAAGTTGGTACTTTGACGGAAACCTTAACAAATGTAAGGCAGGCTGCCAGACAAACATGAAGCGGTATATGCTGTAATGAGCCACCTCTTCACAAACGGCTTGCGTGTCGGCCCATCTAATTCTGCAGTATATGAAGGCGGTCTGTAAATAATCCAGTCATTAACATCATTGGATACAATGACATTCATTAACCAAGTCAGCGGACTTGGGTCTTTTCCGTCAGTTGGCTGTTATGGCGACCTTGGATTGCTGAAGAAAACAAAAATAATTACAACGTTGTTAACTGTTTGTTTTGTCGAAAATATTTAATGACGATGTATTTCTGGGAAATGGAATTCTGTTGAATGGGACGTGTTACCATAGCACTTTTAGCATGATTACATTAATGTCTATATTTGTTTTTATTCAAGGGAACCCCAAACGGCTCGAAGACTTTGCCTACAGTGATGAAGAACTTGGCCTCCTTATCTGGACCAAGATGCTGAATGTCAAATACAGAGGGGTCAGGGGTCAAGTGGCATTTAATGAGAAAGGTGACCCCGTGGCTATGTTCAGGATAGACCGTGTTCAGGGTGAGTTCGATGAGAGTGAATATTGTCAGCTGAAGGTAGATCGTGTTCAGGGTGAGTTTGGTGAGAGTGGATATTGTCAACTGAAGGTAGATCGTGTTCAGGGTGAGTTTGGTGAGAGTGAATATTGTCAACTGAAGATAGATCGTGTTCAGGGTGAGTTTGGTGAGAGTGAATATTGTCGACTGAAGGTAGATCGTGTTCAGGGTGAGTTTGGTGAGAGTGAATATTGTCGACTGAAGGTAGATCGTGTTCAGGGTGAGTTTGGTGAGAGTGAATATTGTCGACTGAAGGTAGATCGTGTTCAGGGTGAGTTTGGTGAGAGTGAATATTGTCGACTGAAGGTAGATCGTGTTCAGGGTGAGTTTGGTGAGAGTGAATATTGTCGACTGAAGGTAGATCGTGTTCAGGGTGAGTTTGGTGAAGTGAATATTGTCAGGGGTGATCATGTGTTCAGTCTTTGTGAATAATGTCGACTGAAGGTAGATCGTGTTCAGGGTGAGTTTGGTGAGAGTGAATATTGTCGGGGTGTTCATGTGTTCAGTCTTTGTGAATAATGTCGACTGAAGGTAGATCGTGTTCAGGGTGAGTTTGGTGAGAGTGAATATTGTCGACTGAAGGTAGATCGTGTTCAGGGTGAGTTTGGTGAGAGTGAATATTGTCGACTGAAGGTAGATCGTGTTCAGGGTGAGTTTGGTGAGAGTGAATATTGTCGGGGTGATCATGTGTTCAGTCTTTGTGAATAATGTCGACTGAAGGTAGATCGTGTTCAGGGTGAGTTTGGTGAGAGTGAATATTGTCGGGGTGATCATGTGTTCAGTCTTTGTGAATAATGTCGACTGAAGGTAGATCGTGTTCAGGGTGAGTTTGGTGAGAGTGAATAATGTCGACTGAAGGTAGATCGTGTTCAGGGTGAGTTTGGTGAGAGTGAATATTGTCGGGGTGTTCATGTGTTCAGTATTTGTGAAAAATGTCGACTGAAGGTAGATCGTGTTCAGGGTGAGTTTGGTGAGAGTGAATATTGTCGGGGTGATCATGTGTTCAGTATTTGTGAAAAATGTCGACTGAAGGTAGATCGTGTTCAGGGTGAGTTTGGTGAGAGTGAATATTGTCGGGGTGATCATGTGTTCAGTATTTGTGAAAAATGTCGACTGAAGGTAGATCGTGTTCAGGGTAATCATGAGTTCAGTCATTGACAATAAAGTCAACTCAAGATAGAATAGTGTTCAGCCTGATCATGAGTTGAGTGGATGTACATGTAATCAGTCGGGATATTTGCTGTTAACAAAGAACACACTCAACAACGCTTGTTTCAAATCTCAGATAACATATGTCCTCTTCGCATATTTCATTGACATATTAAATATTTACAAATATTTCAAACAATCATTTCATTTGTTTGATTCAAACATTCAATATTGTATTCATGACTTCGTCGTGTATCCACTCATATAGGGCACCAAACAAGATACATACAGTACAGTCACCCAGCCTGTAGGTAAAGCGAGGAATCAATACAAACGTTGTGATAATCGATCGATTTATTTATCCTCGTCTTTGTTTGTAACGTCAATGATTTGTGCGTACGTACATTCTCCCGTAAGAATCCATACCGCGAGAACGTAGTGTGTCGTAAGCTACACATCACGTTACACAGACTGGTTCGTGGCAGTATATGCGCTGCGTCATGGTCATACGAGTGCGACTGTGATTATAGTCACGGCCCATGTCTTAGTAGGTTATGGAAACTACATGTCATATCAGAGAATATTTTTACTATTATTTTTTTTTCAAATAATGAAGTATGACACTGCGAGTTTTGAAATTTGGGTTTGGAGTATGCAGGGTACATTTCATTCTTGCTGCATACGGTTACATTTTATCTTTGTGTGAGTGAGTGAGTTTACTTTTACGCCGCTTTTAACAATATTCTAGCACTATCACGGCGGAGGACACCAGAAATGGGCTTCACATATTGTGCCTATGTGGGAAATCGAACCCGGGTCTTTGGCGTGACGAGCGAACGCCATTTATAAAACCACCAGGATACCCCCCTGCCCCTTTTGCACGTTGAACGTGTATGTGTTTGGTTACCATGGAAACAATTATATAAACACTGCTAAGAGATGTCACTATCATTTTTTTTTCATTACCGCAGCATTATACATTCAATGAGAAATGTAATTTCACGATACTGCTGGCGTCTCAATGCAACGGTTCATTAAGATCTTTATTAAAGATAATTACTTCTAGATTGCAAGAAGAAACGCATTTCATTCTGCAGGTGCTATCCAACACCCCGTTCATTATCTCCGCACACAATCACCATCTTTGATGCACGGCCGTGTCCTGTTTGAATGATGCGATAAAGCAACGACTGTCAATCAATAGCAGCGTGTTATCGCTAACCGATCAAAGCAAGGCCGTCGTATGCGGAAACATACAGGTGTTTATTTCAATCAGTCACAGATGTGCTTCGTCATTAACGTACTTTAGAGCTTGAAATGTAAGAACCAGAGTAACTATCTACTCCATCAGGGGACAAAATGAACTATCTACCTTTGAATTGCTTCCGCAAATTTACTTTGACGTGTAGATTAGGTTGATAATTTTTCGTTAAAATACTCCTTAAGCTATATCTATTTTCTTACGTCCCGGTGTCGTCCTAGGTAGTGCTTCTGCTTTTATCCTAGCTTTGTTTGCTTTTCCTTCGCCTTCGGGCATTAATTATGTGTAGATAGATCGATCGATGGATGGATGGATACACCGAAGACAGTATAGGATAGTGAGTGAGTGAGTGAGTATGTTTTTACGCCGCTTTTAGCAATATTCCGGCAATTTCACAGCGGTGGACACCAGAAATGGGCTTCACACATTGTACCCATGTCGGGAATCGAACCCGGGTCTTGACAAGCGAACGCTTCAACCACTAGGCTACCCCACCGCCCCAGAACAGGAATGAATCTGTGATCCCGTTTGTCCGATGTACATGCATTGTTTTTAAGACTTCAAAATATGGTCAATCGTCAGTGATTTCTTCTTTATTGACGAACATGTATGCCTCGCAGCTGCTCGTGGTCCGGAGATAATGTCAAGGGAAATTACCAATAACATTGTCTATTTACAAACTAAACTCCTAAGTGTTTCTGTGTACATTTACAGGTGGTGAGGTGCAGATGGTGGGGCTCTATGATCCGAACCTGGTCGCCGATGTGAAGATCGAATGGCTACCAGCTGCACCCATCGTATGGGCAGGTATAACAATAAAGAACAAACGTTAGGTATAACAAAATAGGTATAACAATCAGAACACACTGGTTACACTGTGCCCCTCGGAGCATTTGCCTAGAGCAGTGCTGGCTACAAATAGGTACACACATAGTGCAAACACAGTCGGACGGTGGAGCGATAATGGGTCTCTTATCGAGAGTTTACTTAGTCGATATGACAGAGAAATACCAGGATGATTATAACACCTAGGCCTGTTCTTGTACAAGGGGTCTATCGTGACAGGGTGTCTCGTAAGTTTCTAAGGGTCTTGTAATTATTGCTATCAATATTTGCTCGTCGTTCAATGAGTGAAATATTAGGCTGGTTAGATACGAATTCATCTCTGTTTCTGTGCTTTTGGGGTTTTCATATAGGCATTGGTTATGGAGGCATATACAGGGTTTAAACATATTTTTATTTCAAAAGAAATCTGGATCGGTTAAAAGGCAAGATGTGCTTATGTAAATACCTACCCCGGTAATGAGTTGACACGACTGGTTAGTATACGTTGCACAAGATACTGGTGGTGGTGGTGGTGGAATTGGGTTTTAACGTCGTGCTTGAGAATATTTCGCTTATATGACGACGTGCATGAGTGTGTATGTGTATGTGCGGCTGCTTGTACTAGCCAAGACTGAAGCTGGTTTTATAGCGCTAGCCCACTGAGATACCATGCCGCAGTGAAGCATGAATACCCCACACTCAGACACATTATACTGACTCCGAGCCGACCAGTCCTTGTTGTACCCATTAATGGCGAGCGCCAGGCAGGGACCAACAAGTACCATATTTTAACGTCTTTTGGTACGACGCGGTTGGGGACGCGGTTGGCGGACGCTCTAACCACTACAATACGGAGGCGATCCGCACAAGATGCTGATACACATAATGTAGAATTGCACAAACGGGATATAAAGTCGTTATTTTGAAGTCAGTGGTGTTTGTGGGAAAATATCATAATGCAGTTATCCTTTCCACATGAATCTGAAATTGCTCAAAGCTTTTGCTTTAGACAATAAAGTCGTGAACCGAGGTATGTACTTATGTCCAGGTTGCCTAATCACTGAATTGAATTTAGAGTTAACATAAAGTTTGATGTCCCTAGTCTGTTACCTGAACACTCGAGAAACGATTACTTTGACTTTACATCGACTTTCATGATACTTCATCATGCGTAAAGTGACCTTATTACGCCATGAAGACTTCCATCGACTAAACTTCAACTTGAAACTCTTTATACCTTGAGAAGTCTGGGTATTTGTAGAGTTAAGAAAACACGCCGTGGTTCCAGAGGAGGACAAAATAAATGGAAGTCTTCAATTTCTACGGATATTCTCTCGACATAAAAAATTACAATCTTAACATTGGACTGTAAAATGCCATACCTGTAAAGACATGTGAACCTTTAAATGACAAAGCACGAACAATTCATGATCTTATGTGGATAGTAAATTAAATGTTTTGGCTATTACAGAAACCTGGTTAAAAAGAAGTGATGAAACTGATGCCTTGTCAATTAACAAACTTGTTCCAGATGGATACAAACTTTCTCACGTACCCGATCTAACTGGCGAGGTGGCGGCGTGGGTGTTGTGTATGATGATAGATTAAAAATGCCTCGTCTGACTGATGTTAGACACTTTGATTCATTCGAGCTACTACCGATTCAGTTCGTAACTGAAATTCAGTGTGTAAATGTTATGGTGCTTTACAGGCCACCCTAATTTTGGAAACATGTTCTTTGATAATTTCTCTGCACTCTTGGATACACTGAACACAGTTAATGGAAAACTGTTAGTGTGGGGATTTCAGTTTTCACATTGACAATCCTGAAGATGCTAACGCAAAACGTCGGCTCTATATCCTGGATACCCATGGTCTCATACAAGATGTCAGTGAACCAACCAATTCTAGGGGTCATATTCTGGATCTGGTGATCGTCCGTGAGCAGGAACTGGACATAAAACACATGACCTTTGATCACTCAGTCAAGTCAGGCCACACATGTATCATCTTTACTGTGAACATCAGAGTCAAGAAAAGATCGAGGAATGTTGTCACGTACCGGAAATAGAAAAACGTTGACATTAAGTCTCACGGTGAAGATATATCAACAGCATGTGTCAGTTACCAAGGCATGTCTGTTTCTGGCGCTGTGGACATGTACGCTTCACTTCTCCGACAGGTAGCGGACCAACATGCACCTGTCAAAACCTGTACCATCACAACCCATCCGGAGTCTCCGTGGTATAATGATAACATCCGTGCTGCAAAGAGACAGAGGCGGAAGCTGGAACGTCAGTATAGGAGAACTAAATTGACCATCCACAACCAGATGCATAGTGAACAGTGTAATGCATTAGCATTACTGTTTGAGGCTGCAAAATCAAACTTCTATAAAGACGCCATTAATACAGCTACTGGATAGAAGGAAGTGTTCAGAATTGCCAACAGCTTGTTGTTTAAAAGGAACTCTCTTGTTCTCCCATCTCACACATCTATTGATGAACTGGCTAATCGGTTTTCGGGCTTCTTCACTTACAAGATCAACATCATACGCTAATCCTTCAAATATCACCATGATGCCGCGAAAGTTCCAGTAATCACGAACTCCCTTTCCTTGTCCTCGTTTAGATCTGTGACGGAAGATGAAATGTCCAAACTTGTCTCCAAATGTCCAGCGAAATCATGTTTGCTTAACCCATTACGAACGTGGCTCTTGAAACAAACCATTCAATCTCTTCTTCCTATCTGGACGTATATCACCAACAGTTCGCTAAGCCAAGGTATAATGCCTGATACAACAATTATCTCTCCCCTCATAAAGAAGAAGAATCTCGATCACGAACTGTTAAGAAACTACAGACCAATATCCAATTTAACATTCATTTCTAAGCTGATTGAGCGCATTGTTGCTTCTCAATTCAGAGACCATATGAGCAGAAACAGCTTCTATGAAGAGTGCCAATCTGCCTACCGATACTTCCACAGCTTGGAAACTGCGTTGCTGAAGGTTCAGAACGACATCTTAAGAGGCATAGACACCGATGGAGCGGTCATTCTTGTATTGCTGGATCTCTCAGCTGCTTTTGACACTGTTGACCATTCTGTGCTACTCTTGAAAACAGGTTCAATGTCAAAGATATTGCATTAAGGTGGTTTGTCTCCTACTTAACAGACCGAAGGCAGGGAGTTGTCATCCAGGGTGAAGGGTCAGAGGCAACGTACTTGAAGCTTGGAGTGCCTCGGGGCTCCGTCCTAGGCCCCCTACTTTTCACATGCTACACATCTTCCCTCGGTGGAATTGTAGGGTCTTACAACTTAAGTATGCACCTCTATGCTGATGACACGCAAGTCTACTTATCCTTCAAGCCATCTGACGCATCTTCAACCAAGTTCTCCTTTTCAAGAGTAGAAGAATGTGTTGATTGTATCAAGAGTTGGATGTCATCGAACTATCTTAAATTAAATGATGATAAAACTGAGCTCATTGTGTTCCACCCTCTTCGACTTCAGAAAAATCTTCTGCTTCCACAGTTTTGCATCGGTGAATCTGCAATAAAAATGCGCCCACGTGTTCGCAATCTTGGTGTAATCTTTGACTCTGCCCTCAGCATGGAACCCCATGTTCGCAATGTCTGTCGCCAATGTTATTTCCATCTGTGCAACATTGGTATGATCCGTCGATACCTGGATTTGAAATCTGCACAAGCTCTAGTTCAAGCATATGTAACATCCCGCTTGGACTATTGTAACTCTTTGCTGTCTGGTGTGCCAAAACAAGTCCTCTACAGGCTACAGAAGGCACAAAATTCAGCCGCACGATTGATCTGTCAAATTAAAAGTACTGAACACACCTCTCCTGCCCTCAAAGTTCTACATTGGCTTCCAAATCGCTTCAGAATCGACTACAAAATCCTGCTCCTTGTTTTCAAGTGTTTAAACGGTCTAGCTCCAAAATACCTCTCGGATCTCCTGACACCATATCACCCAACCAGATCACTCCGCTCAAGGGACCAGTCTCTCCTTGAAATACCACAAACTACAACTAAGTCATATGGGGACAGGTCTTTCTCTAGAGCAGGACCCTTCCTCTGGAACAATTTACCATCCATCCTTCGTTCCGAAACAGAACTGTCAAATTTTAAAAGTGGACTCAAGACGCACCTATTCACCTCTGAACATGGATAAAGTCGACTCAGATAGCGGTTTTGAGCAATTACATTGATAAAAAGCGCTTTACAAATATTTGTATGTATGTATGTATGTATGTATGTATGTATGTATGTATGTATGCATGTATGTATGTATGTATGTATGTATGTATGTATGTATGTATGTATGTATGTATGTATGTATGTATGTATGTATGTATGTGTGTATGTATGTATCGACTGACATGATACGTAGTCATGTGTTATGAGACTTCGTCTCGCACGGACTTTACATTGCATTTCATGGCGCTTAATCATGTGTAACATGACCTCATTTGGCTCTCCATCGTCCCATGTCACTCCATCTGTAACCTATTACTACATGATACTTTTATTTGCGCTTAATCTAATTGTTAACCTGGACTGTGTTAATTATTAAACTCAGTAGACGCTGGAAAACCAAAAACCGTTGTCTGATTGACGTCATCGTACCTTACCCTCGCTCACGCCTTGTTTAAATACACCTGCTTGCTACACCCTTATTACTTGCTTACAGACCTAACATGTGTTGTAGTTCAGCCCCTACTGCGCTGAAATCCATCTTGTCACAGATTACGTTGTCAATGACAACGGCCCCGTCCCAAGAAAACATCTTAGCGCTACGGCGACCATGACGGCCAGCCTTTCCCGGATGGTTTTATGATCGCAAGTCTTATAGACAAGGAGTCATTCGCAAATTGGGGCGGTGGGGTAGCCTGAAGGTTAAAGGGTTCGTTCGTCACGCTGAAGACCCGGGTTCGATTCCCCACAAGGGTGCAATGAGTGAAGCGCATTCCTGGTGGCTACCTCCGTGATATTGCTGAATATTGCTAAAAGCGGCGTAAAACTAAACTCACTCACTCACGCTCCCATTTGCAAATGTCTTTGATATAGTATGACCAGAAATTATTGAGAATTTTAGGAATATGTTCAATTGGATTTCTAGTATAAACAACCTTGACCAGCTATCAAGTGCTTGGTTTCATTCAAGAGAGACAACTCCGTTAATCCTTTTTCATTAGTTTGTGAAGAGTTATTCCCCTTTGTTTACTTGCTAGCAGACGACATTTTCAGTGATCCTCAGTATGGATGATTTAGAAAAGGGGAAGTTGATTTTAGAGTATTATAACAAGGACATCAGATCAGCTTAAGTGATTTCAAGTAGAACAAGCATCCCTTTGTCCACTGTTTATCGTGTTTTGAAAAATATTGCAAATGGATATGGCATTGAGCACCAGGGAGGCGCAGGTAGGCCCAGAAAATTGACTGTCGGTGACAGGAGGCAGCTTGGTATTCTTGTTTCTAAAAACAAACGAAGGAGTTTAGAAAACTTAAGGCTGGATATGATTGATAGAGGAACTGTGGCTGTCTGTAAGGAGACAATTAGAACTGAGCTGCATACAATGGGTTGGCAGAAAAGTCGAGGAATTCCATCACCGATCATGAAACCTGAACAAAAGGAGCGAAGGTTGAACTGGTGCTTACAGCATAGAAATTTTAACTGGGACAATGTGATTTTCTCAGATGAAAGTTCTGTGTGGCTGTTTCCTAATACACTCAAATTCTTGACCAAACAAACTAAAAAACCTTTGTATCAGCGCCCAAAATACTGTCCGAAATTTAACGTGTGGGGTGGCATATCTGTGTTAGGGGCAACGCCCCTCTGTGTATTTGAAAGGAATATGAACAGTGAGCGGTACACAGATATTCTCGAGGAACATTTACTTCCATCTGCTCACGTGTTCTATGGAAATGTTTGGATTTTCCAGCAGGACGACCCAAAACATCGTTCAAAGCATTCACAGGCCTGGTTTCGGACCCAAAATATGACATTATTAGATTGGCCAAGCTATAGCCCTGACCTAAATCCAATAGAAAATGTTTGGGGACTTATGAAGGAAAGTGTCAAAAAAAAAAATCTGACAAATATTGCTGAAATGAAAGAAGAGGTGGTTCGATATTGGGACAGCATGGACCACGACTTTCTAACTTCTTTGATCAGTAGTATGCCCCGCCGCATTGAAGCCTGCATTGCTGCCCATGGTGACTTGACAAAATACTAACTGTTCACCTGTCTTTGAATCTTGAGTTATGTTCTGCTAATATTCACATTAATACGTGAGTAATGAGTGAAAAAAATATATAAAATTACAATCTTTAAATTCTCAATAATTTCTGGTTATATATGTGGCCACCTGCTTATCCCTTATCTACCAATTAATCATTTCTTGTATTATTGAAAGTGAGTGTGTTTTCTCCCAACTCCATTTTGCAGTCATACTTTAAACCATAAAGCTCTGTTGTCCAATTATAAAACTCACACTGTTTTGAAAGATATGTTCCGTAATGTCTACTGTTCTAGGTGGAAAGATACCGAAGGATTCCTTGACGATCTATCTGACGACTACCCGCCTGTCCTTCTCTTTGTATCTGTCCATATGCTGCATCTCGGCGCTCGGCATCGCCCTCAGCATATTCTTCCTTGCCTTCAACATTCATTATAGAAAGATACGGTGAGACTATTCTCTGTGCATCCAGAACCGTGTCCTGCACTGAGACTTTCGAGCTCCAAATCCATAACTTATTAAACTGAGACATTGTATTTACAGTCAGTTACAGTGAGACGCTGAAGCTCAAAATTCACAATTGGTTACACTGAGACATATGCGATCTCCAGTGTACCGTCTCGAGCTGGACCTGTAATCTACACATGGTTAAAAGGAGACATTCGATCTTTAGAGTGAGGCTTACGATATAGACTTGCTTAAACTGACACTTTCACACAAACTGTAGTTGGTTTAACGGAGGCTTTGGGGATGCAGTTTGCCGAGTTTTCATCTGCAGTTGGGTAAACTGGAACATTTGAATGTAAATACACACTTGGTTGAACTGTAACTTTTCAATCCATGATGAAAATACTTAACCCTTCAAGCTGAGCTCATATATACGCTGGGGTGAAGTTTTGCTACTGCATGTCTCTCACATCTCATGATAATTAGAAACTTTTAAGTATTTATTCTCAAGCCTATTCTCACGCTTGATGTATACTTTCTTCTATGTTCTACCAGCATTGTGAAGATGTCGTCGCCTCGCCTGAACAACGTCATCCTTTTCGGTTGTGTACTCCTCTACATCACAGTGTTCTTAGAGCAGACAAATAATGAGCTTGTGCCAGCCCTGTGTCTTGTAAGTAGACATTACTTTCTTCACTGAATCTCCTGGCACCACACCATCACTTTCCAAATCGCTAAACCTATGCTTGTGTCGTAAGTATATATAGCCATTGACAGCAGGTGTGAAATATCTGACAAAATTGACTTCATGCCTGCCACTATTAGAGATGGTGTCCAAACGATCTTAGCGCTACGACTGTTGTGTGTCTATGTTAAATGAAGGGGTTAAGATCACCTTGTCGCTACGATACCTTTGCGCAATGAGACACCGATCTACAAAACTGCAAATGGATTGAGATGTAGGTCTCATACGCGTACCAGTTTGGTAATTCTTGAATAGGGATTCGAACCCACAGCAATAGGGTTCTGGCCTACACAAGGGACGCAACTCTGTATTGCGAAATGCGGCACCTGGACCCTTACGCCACTCGTTTGAGATCATATGAGGCGAGCATTTGGTCCTGAAAACATTGGACACTGGCAGCGCTGAGGTATGGCTGTCTCCTTAGGAATGAGCTTAATCTAATAGTAATCATCACTTTCAGGAATGGCTTTATCTCACTATATTGCATTACTGTTAAGAGACACTGCGAAGATTTCGGGTCAGAACAGATCCATTGTACACCATGCTTGTCTTGATGGGGTCGGTTAGTCAGTCTCTGTTCCTCGCTGGCACATAACGATATCCATCCTATAGTCAATGATTTGCCACTAACAAACTCCACTGTTGTCTCCACCCCCTCAGGATTCTAGATTAAACTAGGTCTTGTTAATGGCGTGTGATGGTACTGTTCTGAACGTTGCTCCTGATATCAACCACTGATTTACCTCGTCCTGATTCCATTACACACGTGGTAACTTAAGTATTGCTATCAATTACACGGCATCTCAGTAACCTCTTTACTTTGACATATAAACTGTTACTGGTTGTTGTTAATATGCTATCGTGGAATAACATTGTTCTGAGAGTGCGTGTGTGTGTGTGTGTGTGTGTGTGAGAGAGAGAGAGAGAGAGAGAGAGAGTAGGTGAGTGAGTGAGTGAATGTTAGATGAACACGAGAGAAGGATTTTATGGATATATATTGTCAGAACCAGTCTGTATCATTCTTCTGAAAAACAAGTCGGAATTAGCTCCGAAACGTCTCGCCTAACAAACGAAAAGTAATTGCCGTCAAAAAAAGTCTTTGTCTCATGTTCATCACTTCCTGATGCCTTCAGAGTACTTGCGTATTGCTGACCGCGGCATTAAACAATATTCGTTCATTCACTGATGCTATGCATTCTCCTTGTGTTTCCCAGTCCAAGGTGTACCTCCTGACGCTGGGCTTCTCCATGGCGTTCGGTGCTTTGTTCGCGAAGACCTGGAGGGTGCACGTTATCTTCACGAACGCCACGAAACAGAAGAAGGTGATCACCTGTCACGGTGTACAGACACCAACGTAACACCAATAACGATTTTAAATGAACCATTAGTTTCCATGGGTTTTCTTTGAAGGAGCCATATCCATTAGAATTTATTCTTACAATCCGGGTGAGGTGAGGTGAAATTGGGTTCAACGTCGTGCTTGGGAATATTTCGCTCATATGACGACGTGCATGCGTGTGTGTGTATGTGCGGCTGCTTGTACCAGCACAGACTTAAGCTGGTTTTATAGTGCTAGCTCACTGAGATACCATGCTGCAGTGAAGCATGAATACCCCACTCAGACACATTATACTGACTCCGAGCCGACCAGTCCTTGTTGTACCCATTAATGCCGAGCGCCAGGCAGGGACCAACATGAACTAGATTTTAACGTCTTTTGGTATGATGCGGTCGGGGATTGAACTCGCGACCTTCCGCTCTCCGGGCGGACGCTCTAACCACTACACCACGTGCACACGGAGGCGGTCGCTTACAATCCGACTTTTTGTCACAGTTCCAAAAGCATATCTCAAGCAACTGACTTGTAGTTGACCAATTTTGAGCAATTACACACTTTTGGAAGACCACACAGAAAACACAACATGGCTGACATATTGGCAATAATACCACAAACAAGTAATAAATCCAAACAATACCCTTCAGTGTCTATTTGGGCCCACAATTGGGACGATTTTTCTAGTTTACTACTATATGAAACGTGCCTCATCTGAAAATATGGCAGGGGACCACGGACGATTACACCTCAGCTTGTGTTGTAAGTATGCAGCTGTAGAATTCGACGTTTGAGCTTGATTTCGATCTCCCTACGCACGTGTTTGGCACGTGCAAACCATCGAAGATGTTTTGACGTTATCTTTTACAAACCAGAAACGTTCTTGCATGGACTGTTTGTCGTCAACACTTATCTTTCTTTTAACATGTATATTTTATCATCCCGGTTGTTTGAAGATAACATATAGCTTAGCTGGAGCGATTATATTTTCAGTAATGACCCATTTCGTTTTGGATTGGAAAGTACTAAGTTAAAAGAGACAGTAAATATTCTTCCATCACAAATATCTATTAATCGATGTTTATTATCCGTCCCAGGTCCTGAAAGACAGTCAACTGTTTATGATGGTCGGAGTCCTGGTGGCAATCAACACAGTGGTTCTACTCAGTTGGACCTTCATTGACCCACTCGAGGTCATTAACAACGACCTTGACCCAGTTGTAAGTAAACGTTCTTGTTGAATACTAAATGACTGGAAATTACCACTAATGGTTGCGTTAGTTATGATAATGATGTTGCTTTGTAATCAAATACTCCGTGTAATAAACTCATGGGCAAAAGAAAGTATAGGTCATTTTGAAGATCAGTAAAACAGAAACAACACAAGATTTGGATTATGTAATAGATGTAATTTGTAGCAAATTCATTTGCACTTTGCTGTGTGTACAAATCATTACCTGGTTGAAAGAACTGAAAGGTGACATTGACATTCAAACAGTCAGGGGGTAAATATCAAAGTTACAATGGTATTCCTTTGACGAATTGCGCACAAAAAAGACAGAAAAGTTTGTTCCAGAACGATCACAACGTCAGTAGCGTGTGTGTCCGCCAGCAGCCTCAATGCACGCTCGTGCACGTTGTCGCATCGATGACGTCAAGCGTCGGATGACTTCATTTGGCAGTCGCTGCCATTCGTCCCTCAGTGCCACTTCCAACTCTTGTCTTGACTGTGGAGGGTGATGACGACCACGAATTTGTCTTCCCAAATGATCCCACAAATGCTCGATCGTATTCATATCTGGTGATCGAGAAGGCCAGGGTAGCACGTTAACGTTATTCTGATTAAGAAAGTTTCTTGTCGCTATTGCTGTATGGGAGTTGCATTGTCTTGCTGAAACAATACACCATTTGGTTGATTGTTCAAGAAAGGTAAGACGACAGGCTGCAAGACTTGATTTCGGTACTCATTAGCATTGAGATTCCCCTGAATAACGACCAAGGGTGTCGTTTGGTCGCCAATAATGCCACCCCACCCCATACCATCACACCATCTCCACCATAGGCATGGACTTGAATGCATGCTGCTGCAAAACGTTCACGCCGTCGCCTGTAAACTCTCTGTCGGCCGTCATTTTTGTGCAGACAAAACCGACTTTCATCGGTGAAGAGGACCCCCACGCCAATCACGCACTTGCCAGCGGTATACCCGTCTTGCCCATTGCAGTCTGTCAAGTCGATGTTGTTGAGTTAGTCTCATTCCACGGACTGGTCGATAGCAACGTATTCCACCTGCTCTCAAACGTCTGAGGACAGTCCTTCGACTGATGCGACGTTCCAACGCTGTTTCGGCCGTTGACGTTTCCGTAACAAATCGATTTCGGAGGTGTATCAGGCGTCTTGCTATCGGCAGTGGCGTACAACCAAATCTTCTTGCAATTCTGACGTTCGTCGCCCCCATATCGGACATCCCTATGGCCCTCTCTGTGTGTTCTGGCGTCAGTTCGAGGGATATTTTTCATGTGTTTTCAGCAGCTGTAATATGACGGGACCGATGCATCGCATTTATACCGAAACTTTGCACGTGCATTACGTGCTAGGAGCATGGAACATGCTTTCTACATTTGTGACGTCATCACTCTCACCGTTCGAACGTGTTGCGTTTTGGCGGTGTATTTACCTTCCCAGTAGTGGGGCCAACATTGCAAGCATGCCTAATTCTCATAACCATGTCAATGACAGTGAAAAAAATAATCTTTCCAGTCCTATACTTTCTTTGGCCCATGAGTTTATAACACCATTGCCGGTGATGTGATCGTCTTTGGTGGATAATGCGACAGAAGTGATCTTGCGACTCTAACAAGAGTAGACTAATATGTTATGAATATTCATTTATGTGGTAATGGGAAAACAGAGTGTCTCAGGTATTAATGTTTAATTCGGCGATTGCTTTGGAGAATGTGTTACTCCTAAATACTCCAAAGACGCTGATAAGCACTTAGGAATCAATGCTTAAATGTGCAAGAGTAATTTCTAGTAATATTTCATAAATGTACGGAAAACGTTTCAATTAATAAAGGCCGATGCTATTGGGAAAATACGAAAACAAAGCCTCGTCCGTCGATTCTCGCCTCTCTCCGGCATCTGACACCGCCGTTCGGCTTTTCCGGAATGACACGGATGGGCATGGTTACAAATCATGAAATAGTCGGTTGTAGTACATGTATTTCAGTTGTATAATTGTGTCATTTAATGTGATGGGAAGTCAAAACAAACGCTGGTCTCAAACTTTGACTATTTAAATTAGTGAGGCTAACGTGCTTGGTTACGGTGCTGACCAACTTTGGGACAAGTTTGGTATTTGATCCCTAGATCTTTGGATCCGGCAATCCCAAGGGAGGCGACCCAACGGCGACTGGGCCAGTAAGGGAGCATCTGCCTGTTGATCAGACTAAGTCAAACTTACCATTGTCACATATTTTAGATTTTTTCTACTGCGTTACCTATATTCTCACACAGTTAGCAAAATATAACAATCTCAAATTCACGTATCCCCAGGTGTACGAAGACAGAGACATCGAAATACGGAGTCACGTGCAGACGTGTACGTCGACCAATCAGATCTACTTTGTTGGTACTCTGTTCGGAATACAGGGGATCCTACTGCTGCTGGGGACTTTCCTCGCCTGGGAAACCCGGAAGGTGAATACACAGTCTGTCATTGATCTAACTGATACGGGGTTGCTCCGTGATATCAATTAATAACTGTACAGTCTTAGCAAATACAAAAAGTATTGATAGAGTAATTACAGCGACAAAACGGAGTTTCTCTGCGAATATAAACCCGTTTGGTCAACTTATGTTTACTCAGTGGTCGCATTGATTGAAAATATGATCACAATGTAGGAGAGAGATTCAATTGGACGCCGACATTTTGATAAGACATGACTGCGCCTGATGTAGAGTAAAATGTATCACAGTGACCAACCCTTTTACATGAAATGGAAATAACTATTTTACCTTGCCTTACAAAGTTACATTACAAACACAAACTTCTGATTGCTTAAGAAGCGGGCGTGTTTGCCATGTAGGCGGCTAACGGAGTCCTCATCGAAATCAGTCGTAACACGTGTTAAGTATCTTGCTAACTCGTATATTTCCGTTTCTGAAATGAACCGATATTTATCCGAATGCATTAGGTAAAGGGAAGTAACACCGTTCGTTCGTTCGTATCGTCTGCTTCTTTCTTAATGAAAGTGCGGACTATTCGAGGCGAGTTGAAATGAGGTTTAACGTTGTACTTGAGAATATTTCGCTTATATGACGACGTGCATGCGTGTGTATATGTGTCTGATTGTACTAGCGGCTTAGGCTTTAGGTTTTATTGTGCTACCTCACCATGCCGCGTTATAAAACCAGCTTAACTGAGTCCATGTCCGATTCAGAATCACAGTGTGATGTCTTTTGATACCATCCCCTACAGATGAAATCAACATCGCACGTGCTTCTCGGTTACCTGGCTGTTACCTAAGCTGTCGCTACTCCCTTGTCACAAATCGTGATAGCGCTAATGAAAACAATTATCGTTTGTGGAACAACATTTTTTATTTTGTAGACCAAACCTACGACAAAATTCCTCAGAGTTGGTCTTACCCACTGATATAATGAACCTGTACTATACACTAACGATATGGTTTTCGCATTTGTACAGAAATACTTTGATCAGAATACTAATGTTGACAGTTAATCTAGAGAAAACTCAAATTATTGTTTTTAGAAGAGGTGAACCCTTAGCGAGAAATAAGAAATGGTTTTATAAAGGTGAACGTGTCTTAACAGTTGATTCATACAGATATCTAGGCATATCTTTTTCATCTTCTTGTAAATTCAATAAATGCATATTAGATTTATCATCTCGGGGTAAAAGGGCACTTCTAGAAGTAGGGTTACTGAGATGTACATCTCCTGAAGACCGGCTCCACATATCACCTTCTGACCAAGATTCCAGTGCGACGTAATCTTTGTTGTACTCACAATGATCTAGCTAACTCTTTTATCGGTCTATATGGACCGGTGCTGTAGCCTAGCTGTTACAACGTACACTCGCCAGGCTCAGGCCCAAGTTCGTTTTCCAACATGGATACAAAGTGTGAAGCCCGTTTCTCGTGTCAACAACACTGGTACCTTTGGGAAACTCCTAAAAGCGTAACATCTCACTCACAACCTATTAGTGCCGGGACGGGTCCAGATTTTCTGTTACCCTACCCTACCCGGATACCCGTAATGTTAATTCCTGACATCAAATTTGTAAGAAATGGCAATATTTTCTTCAGCTCGGAGGCTAAAATGTCGAGTTTTTCAATATCTTAACCATGTATTATTTTCAAAAGAAGTGACTGTAATTTTGTGTAAATCTTCAAAGACAATACAGCCTTTTAATCATGAAAGAATAACATATAGTATTGTTTAATCTATTGGTCACATGATCATAACTGAGACGGGTACCCTGATCCAACTCATTACCCACCAGTCCCGGGTATCCGGGTTACCAGTCCCAGCCCTACTACCTATCTATCGATATATACTGGGCAATAAGGAGGCGTGAAATTAACACCTGTCATTGATTGGCAGGTTTGTATAAGGCGGAAGTGGTCCAAATTGTTCCTTACAAATTATGCACCTTTATGTATTCATAAACAACTGGAAGATCTATCTGCCTAATCATCGCCTTGGTGTGATAAATGTTCACAACATCAACGTCTCTGTCCCATTTTTGGATATGATTAGAAGACAAAGGTTTTCCACTGATCAGTGCATAATTAGTAGGGGAAGTAATCTTCATAATTAGTAGGGGAAGTAATCTTCATAATTAGTAACGATTAATGAACTCTCCTTCCTGCTTGTGCCAATATTGCTGTGTGTACAATATCGGGTTGAAGTCGATAAACGCTATGTAGTTCTGGCAGCATCGCGCTAATTGTTATTGAGTAGATTCTTTTAAATGCCCTCTTAGCTTAGGAGGTTATATTTGGATAGGGTCAATATCGGGTTATGAATCGCGGATTTGAAAGCTATAATCAAAGCTCAAATTTTCCTAATCGTGTTCGTTAGGGTTGGATCTTTCTGAAGGGGTTTGGTGATCACGCCCCATATCATGACATGTGGGTTTTATGTACTGGGTTTCCTCAACATCTTAGAACATTGCTTAAAGCTGATGAAAAGCCTTCTCACTCACTCACTCGTTGTCAGTCGTAAGTGAGTGAGTTTAGTTTTATGCCGCTTTTAGCAATATTCCAGCTATATCATGGCGGGGGACCCCAGAAATGGGCTTCACACACTGTACCCATGTGGGGAATCGAACCCGGGTCTTCAGCGTGACGAGCGAACGCTTTAACCACTAGGCTACTCCATCTCCTTAAGTGAACAAGGAATACACTCAAGCAGCAGAGACCCTAAACCTTCCCATGTATGCACAAACGCTGTGCAAATGAAAAATCGAATAGACCAATGAAATATAACCTGAATCGAGACGTCCCTCTTCAAAAAATGCGTGATATACACGTATCAGTACAAGGGAATACCAGAGTTCATTCCTGGCATATCTGGGGGGTTATATTTCTTATCTTTGTGCCATATGTTAGTACTGACCCGTGTGTGTTTCGTTATCTTTAAAAATTACGAGTGCCACAATTCAAATGAAGGGGCTTTACACTCATTTACTGGAGACTACAGAATCGATCCTTTATGGACATCTACTCTTATGGGCCAATAGAATCGATCCTATATGGACATCTACTCTTATGGGTCAATAGAATCGATCCGTTATGGACATCTACTCGTATGGGCCAATAGAATCGATCCATTATGGACATATACTCGTATTGGCCAATAGAATCGATCCGTTATGGACATCTACTCTTATGGGTCAATAGAATCGATCCGTTATGGACATCTACTCGTATGGGCCAATAGAATCGATCCTTTATGGACATCTACTCGTATGGGCCAACAGAATCGATCCTTTATGGACATCTTCTCTTATGGGTCAATAGAATCGATCCTTTATGGACATCTGCTGTTATGGGTCAATAGAATCGATCCGTTATGGACATCTACTCGTATGGGCCAATAGAATCGATCCGTTATGGACATCTACTCTTATGGACCAATAGAATCGATCCGTTATGGTCATCTACTCGTATGGGCCAATAGAATCGATCCGTTATGGACATCTGCTCTTATGGGCCAATAGAATCGATCCTTTATGGACATCTGCATGTGTCATTGTCAGTATATGATGAGCTCCTAATATATTATCGGATGAAACGAAGGCGATGTGGGTGATCGTTACCCAGATATTCTTTGTATGCTAGTGACCAGTGATGGGACCTGGATTAATTAGCAGCCGAAATATATCAGTCACATTTTAGTTCTACTATATATACAAAAAAAATTCCATAACCTCTGGTACATAACATTTATATTTAATGGTCATACCCATTCGACTTCGCTTAAACTTTCTAAATGAGGAACTGTAGTGCGAGTAGTAAATTTGAAAGTGAGAGACGGTAGGAGGGAATCGGTTAAAATTACGTACTGTATCAACATCCAAATGAGCAAGTTGATGTTTTCAACCCTAAACGTTCCTTGATAGAGGATTCTATTTTCAAATTTCATGAAAAGAAATACTTGAAGGAATAATACCTGTTTATGTGGTCTTTTGATAATTATTCTAGGAATATCGTTGGATCATACGTTTTCGGACAGCAGTGACCACTCGGGCTGTAACGAGGGTTGTTGAGGCGGTAGATTCTTGAATGATGGCTTGACTTTATGACAACTGTTTATAAGTTAGTAACACGTTTTACAATTGTTCGAAGGTTTCGAAGGTTTTTGTATTTTTTCAACTTCCACCAACGGTGGTACATGAGTGAAGTGGAAAAAAACTTATATACATATATGCACCAAGATGGGATTGGATAGATATAATTGAGGCAGGATAATGTACAATACAATATACACATATATTTCTATATACAAGGATGCAATTAGAGAATGATATAAACATTTAATTACATGTATTTATATCTAAACTTCTATTGACACATTTAATAAATTTTGACAAATCTTTAACATATTTAGCTTTCTTTGAACAAAGATCGAGACAACGATTGATGTTCCTAAGTGTCCGGAAACCCATAACATGAGAATTAGTGAAATTGGACTTAAACGCCCCTTTAAAAGTATTTCAACGTAACATTTTAATGGTGGATGATAGCCCGAAGTGATGGAGGTTTTAGCCGTTTAACATATCGTGAAGCTACAGGAACCGGAATGGTACTAAAACAAAACAAAATAAGGATAGATATGGTTTCTGTAAAACAATTGTACTTTACTCATTTGGTTCAATCTGTTAACAATCCTACCTTCAATGTGTTCAGTGCATGCATAACGATTATTCCACGTTCAACAATTAGCCTACAGTAAATCTCATAACGGGAAAAATATTAAGGCATCAGTATATTAATGCTTGTTTACTAAGATACAGGTAATTATTTTATTAACGATGATTAGACTGTATTTGACTAATACAGGTAATGTAACTGTAATTGACAAGACAATGATATATAATAGGTTCAGTGATGAGCACAACTAATAGCACAATACAGTGTCAACATAACCATGACGAAGACCCCAACTTCATCACATAGGTTAACCTTGAGATCGCTAATGAACTTGTTGTAAGTATAACGCAGACTAATTCTGTTTATGAGAAATATTCGAAGACGTTCTCTGTTGATATCGGTTGACCAATACAGATCAATATATACAGTCCATCTGTTTGTGCATGCAGTCATTACCATTGGTCATTATGTGTAATTGCTGGCGAACATCCCGGTATGTTTATGGTAATGGACGAGGAAGTGCTTTATTAAACTCATTATTACATTACTGCGTACTTTACTGGTGCGTAATGGAAAGGTACTTGTGACCTTTCCGTAAATACACTCTTTAACATTTCTTGGAACCGAATTAAACATACGAACCTGGAAATACCTCTGTTAACGATCACAAAGATCAACATATTTAGAGATTGTGTACTTGATAAATGCCGTTAATATATATTAAAATGCCGTTATACATGTGTAAATATACAAACATGGACTTACTACAGTGGAAATAAAAGAAAGTTAAGAAGCCGACATCCACAACATTCTCTTCCACATAACAAGGAATTTGACATCCATAATATTCCCTTCCTTGTAATAAAGAATTTGACATCCGCAAATTCTGATCCTCATAATAAAGACGATGTTGTCCAATTTGACATCCATAAATTCTGCTCATCATAATAAACAATTTGACATCATAATAAACCATAAATTCTTTCCATCATAATAAACAATTTGACATCCATAAATTCTTTCCATCATGATAAACAATTTGACATCAATACATTCTGTCCTTTACACGTTTGTGCATCACTCCTTAAGCCTTGAGTACGGTAATTTCTACGTTCAAGTAAAAGAAGACTATCAGAAGCAAGTCAGTACCAACAATCACCTGATGTTTATATCAAACGCGAACCGTGTGTTCCTCGAAATAACGAAGATGGCATTCGTTATTATCTCCATGCGTTTCATCTATATACCTCGGAGCATCAGTCTATTGAGAAAAGCCCAATGGGTGTAGGTACCAACAATCACCTGATGCGCATGAATTGGTGAAATCAGTCTATTGAGAAAAGCCCAAGGTACGGGTACGATGAAAGAAAATCAGTTTCACGACATAGACGGTATGGCATGTTGCGTACAAGTTTCAACATTATTCAGACAAAATTATTTCTGCATTTTCACCATATATGTTCACAATGAATAATGAACACGATGAGAAGAATCTTCTTGACTTCTTGTACAGGTGAAAATTGATGGTTTGAACGACTCTAAGATGATTGGTCTCTGTATCTACAACGTCATAGTGCTGAGCTTCCTCGGGGCCACCGTCTCCATGACCCTGGGGTCGCAGCTTGACCTCAACTATGCCTTGACCTCGATCATCGTAATCATCGCTACAACCGTGACCATGTGTCTCATTGTTGTACCCAAGGTAAGTAAACCATATCTCATCGTTGTACCCAAGGTAAGTAAACCATATCTCATCGTTGTACCCAAGGTAAGTAAACCATATCTCATCGTTGTACCCAAGGTAAGGTATACCATGTCTTATCGTTGTACCCAAGGTAGGTAAACCATTTCTCATCGTTGTACCCAAGGTGGTATAGTCTTATCGTGTGAGCCCATGGTGTCATTTTATCGGTGGTATACCCTGTCTTATCGTTGAGCCCAAGGTAGGTAAACCATTTCTCATCGTACCCAAGGAAGGTATACCCTGTCCATCGTTGTACCCAAGGTAGGTAAACCATTTCTCATCGTTGAACCCAAGGTAGGTATACCATATCTCATGTTTGTGTCCAAGTTTGGTACACATCATCTGTATGCTCAAAGTAAACCCATTATGTCTCATCCTTGTGCCAAATGTCGAGATATTATAGCATTTGTGCCCGAGATAAGTCTCTATCTCATCTTTCTGCCAAAGGTAGGTACATTTATGTTTCATTTTTCTACCAAAGATAGATGCATTTATATCTTATCTTTGTGCTCAGTGTGACCAAGGTTGGTACACTATATCTCATCTTTATGTCGAAAGGTTGGCAATAATATCTCAGCTTTTTGTCAAAGGTAGGTACAATGTATCTCATCACTGAGTCCTAGCCTGTACGTATTTCGTCATTTTGTTCAAGGCAGTACAGTTTGTCTCTCATGAGTACTCTTGAGTCCTTTGATTACGACGATCTATAAATTTTAGTCTATTCTTCTCATCCATGTTACTCGTGAAGGTCCGGGTTAGAATGTTGATCTTCAGTAACCCATGCTTGTCGTAAGAGCCGACTAACGTGATCGGGATCATTCTCGTTGACTTGGTTGACACATGTCATCGGTTCCCAATTGCGCAGATCGATGCTCATGCTATTGATCACTGGATTGTCTGGTCCAGACCCGATTATTTACAGACAGCCCCCATATAGCTGGAAAATTGCTGAGTGCGGCGTAAAACTAAACTCACTCACTCTCATCCATGTGGGTTCGATTTCCCACAGGGGAAAGTATGTAGACCTAGTCACCGTGCACTCAACTATACATGCGATTCACTATGGCGCTTTCTTGTTCCAGATCATTGCGGTCAGGACAAATAGAGTTGACGTCGTCGAAACTACGACTGCCGCCGCCGCCACTGCCGGTGCAACGAACACCATGCAAAGCAACGTGCACGCCGCTAAAATAAACATTCTGGAGCTCCAACTAAAGGAGGTAAGTAGCGACATACATGTACACCTCTCTGCAAACACTTGGCAGTTTGAATGAACATGTAAGTTTTGTCATTACATGTGTTCCATATTGACGTTGGGAAGAGTGATGAATAGGCACAGGTAGCGGCGGTATAAAAGGTATTGTCCCAGATCGGCTGAGTTTGGCTTCATAGCGAGAATATGATCCTTTATCCGTCCCAACTATAGATGTGCTGGCGAATTTGTCCAAAGTGTTAATTGTCTACGATTCCTTAATTTTCCAAACGTATTCCAAGGTTAACCTGACAAGACGTGGGTTAACTGAGATTATACTTGCATTGAACCAAACTTACTGTGTACTTAAGTGGTAATGAACTAACTAGTACGGTCGTATCCAAGGTGTGCGAGTGATCACATGTCGTTTTTCGTAATGTTTAATCTCTAGCTATGTTGTGTAAAATCAGCCAGAGTTCTTACTCTTCACGATATCTCACAGTGTTCGGTTTGACTGGATGCTCCAGCCTCTCAATGTCACGGCGTGAGTCTGCAAATGCGTTTTACACGTTTCATACAGTGTAGAAATTGAACCCAAACATTCATGAATGTGAGCGAACGTTGTACCATTAAGCTGTCTCATCAATCTGTAAGAAATGATCAGGTCAAAAGTTGAAGTTTCTTGGGATCATGTAACTATTCGCCATCTGAAGTTTCCTCAGTACAAGTATCTATATGAATACACTGCTCTCCAGAGGTCAGTAGAGCTGACCAGTCCAAACGGCATGTCCTTTACATAGCACTACGATGTACAAATATCCTACATTCGAGGTCTCGTGTTTGGCATTGTCCACTCGGTGTCCACTAACTGTCCACCCACTGACTGACATATGTTACCTTCACTGGTCCAAAGATAACATTCTCTGATCATCTTGAAAATATTAATCTTATCTATGAAGTATAAAATTTTACCAACAGAAGGGAATGTTAATTTACTGTTGCTAAGCTCATTTAACTAGTTAGTTGTAAGTATAAGTTATATTCCAAAGTAAGTCCATAGTAATTTATTGTTACTGAACTCATTTGACCAAGGTAAGATGACAACCTAATCAATGTTTATACTGATACTCAACGTATTTATAAATACGTTACTCTCAATTAAAAGTAAGGTGTAAGTACATAAATCAAGTCCACGAGTTCAATGTCATTGTTTTGTTACTCGGCCTTTTAGAAGCAAGTTGAAAACAGCAAGCAAAGTCGACAACCAAATCAATGCTAATGTACTCTTACTGAATTAAATCTACAGTAAAGACTATTACAAGTTAAACACTACAACCAAGTCAGTGCTAATGGTTTGTTACTCAACTTATTCAACAGTAAAGACTATTACAAATTAAACACTACAACCAAGTCAGTGCTAATGGTTTGTTACTCAACTTATTCAACAGTAAAGTCGTATTATCAATTAAAACATGACAACCAGATGAATGCTTGTGTACTGTTACTCAACTCATTTAACAGTAAAGGGTAGGTATCGAGTAAAGATTTCAAGTTAACCGATCAATACTTATTTTCTGTAACTGAATTGACATTGAACAGGGCTGCATATAATTCTGAACATTCTTATTTCTGTATTGTATGTCAATGAAGAGACCAAATACCAAATACCAGTATATCGTCACTGGTAAAAGAAATACTCCCGATAAGCTCAACATACTCACTGTACTGTCGGCTGTAAAGAGGTTTGTATTATTTCACTGACTGGTTTCAGAAAGATAAAGAGATAGAGCAGCTGAAGGAGAAGCTGGATAGAGCTCTTGGTGCGGTGGTGGCCAAAGGAGAAGACGCTTGACCAGTACCAGAGGTCAATGAATACTGGAAGAGGCCAATGCTGAGAACTGGACGATTTCTTTGTTACCAAGAAATATGGCAACGTTGAAATTCTCGACAGGGAACCAGCCTCCTCTTGATTCACATCGAAGTGTACATACTCGCCCTCTGTGTGAGCAAACGAGGGGATGCCGCTCTGAGCCGAAGTCCGCAATATCTTCACGGCGTTCTGTGAGTAATGGAGTTTAGACAGGAAAACCAGAGCAACGATCCGTACCCTCTTGGTTACGTTGAACCGCAGTCATCAAAGTCGCATCTGGTCGAGTTTAGTCCACCTTCACGACCAGTAGCCTGCACCTGTTTAACCTGCACATGGCTTCCAATGTCTTAGGACCCATATATTCTTCCTTCCCGTAAACATTCACACGGATAGCTTAGTACTGAGGACATTGGACCCTAATATACCAGTTAGTCACTTTATAAACACATCAGACATGAAAACTAAATTTACACCTGTGGACTTGAACTTTGTCATGATATACATGGCTCTGCATGGCGTTCATATCCACCTGGACGGTGGGGTAGTCTAGTGGTTAAAGCGGTCGCTCGTCACGCCGAAGACACGGGTTAGATTCCCTCATGGGTACAATGTGTGAAGCCCATTTCTGGTGGCCCCCGCCGTGCTATTGCTGGAATATTGCTAAAAGCAGCGTAAAACCAAACTAACTCACTCATGTCTACCGTACAGAGGCCGCAAACCTGTATGTCCCTTGCCCAGAGAGATACGCCGATGCCAGGTCTCAAATGCTGTACTAGTTTGAAAGTGCTCAATAGTGGTAGCTGTTTCATCATTGTAAATATTGTATTTCTTTGTTCGACCTTCAGAGATTGTGTATTCTTAACGTAATAAAATAATATGCCAGTCTCTAATATATATTTGTATATAGCAAAACAGAAGAACCGAACACGTACATGTAGATATGCATGGTTAACACTTCGTTGTCAGGACAATAATAAAGTAAATGGTTTTAGAAAGAAATGAAATGGGTTTGCTGTTTCATTTAGTATTTGTTCATTTTGCGCGAAGGAAATTTATTACGGCGTCCAACTTTCAATGGAAGTCATTGATCAATTCGCGTGAAGACCATTTCTCGTGTCCCCGCCGTGATATTGCTGGAATGTTGCTAAAATCGGAGTAAACCTAAACTCACTCACTCATTGATCAACACACATGGAACCCATGCTTGTAATAGGCGACAAACGGGATCGGATGTATCACATCGTATCCCAGTTGGGTAGGTCGATTGTGATGATGTCAATCACTTGATTGTCTGGCTCAGACTCACCTACAGACCACCGTCATATAGATGGACAATTGCTGAATGTTATATTAATCAACAACAAACAAACAAATCGCATATTTGTATTTTTCTAAGTGAAAACAAACACAAATATTAATTCTATTCACGCTGATTCGGTGAAGAGATCATTCACCTGACGCATCCGCAGTTACAGAGCGCTATTCTTATGGAGTAGAGGAGCTGCTTTCATGGCAATTGTAACAACTCGAATGGATTTAGTCTTATGACAATCGTCAGCACTCTGATGCAGGTCTGTGTATATTTATGTTATCGACTGTCCCTAGATTGTTTGGATAATTGACGTGGCCTTCAAACAGCATTTAATCATATCGATGTCCACCTACTTGACGGACCTCTTGACCACACACGCGTAAACAGACGACATGGGCGTCGCCACACACCGACACCAACAGTGTCAACATACTTGAGTCACGTACAAGCAGTGTGCGAAATAGCCACTGGCTAGTAAATTTCATTCGGTCATTTTGTAAATATATCACTCTCTCCGACTTGTTTAGTTAATACACGTTTATATCATGCAAGATTATGGCCTGATAAAAATGTTCATCATATTAGCAGCTTAATGATGAAACCCGTGTCTACATTCAAATTTCGGACTAGTGAATTATATGTATTGTGGGCTGGTAACGTTCAGACATAGTTAGCTCAACTGGCTAGTAACATTTGGAAACTATTTCACACACTGGCTGTGGTTAGCATCGTGTGAGGTGAGGTGAGGGAAACTGGGTTTTACGTCGTGCTTGGGAATATTTCGCTCATATGACGACGTGCATGCGTGTGTATGTGCGGCTGCTTGTACTAGCCCAGACTTAAGCTGGCTTTATAGTGCTAGCCCACTGAGATACCATGCCGCAGTGAAGCATGAATACCCCCACTCAGACACATTACACTGACTCCGAGCCGACCAGTCCTTGTTGTACCCATTAATGCCGATCGCCAGGCAGAGACCAACAAGTACCATATTTTAACGTCTTTTGGTATGACGCGGTCGGGGATCGAACCCGCGACCTTCCGCTCTCCTAGCATCGTGTGGAATAGGCAACTTAAAGTTAGTATGTGGACAACGGATATTTCACTGTACCCATTATACCACACATGGGAGGTACAGATACCGGCATGGATATCAACATATGACTTATGTCGACACGTTAGTATTGATCCCTCTACGTGTAGCATGCATGTTTTCTTTTACTGTCATAAAATCTGAGTGAGTGAGGGAGACATTAATATTTAAACTATAGGCTGACTGACCGTACATAGTGGAGTCTAGATCTACATCTAGTAACTGACGGGGGCGATGGGGTAGCCTAGTGGTTAAAGCGTTCGTTCGTTCCGCCGCAGACCCGGGTTCGATTCTCCACATGGGTACAGTGAGTCCCCTGCCGCGATATTGCTGGAATATTGCTAAAAGCGGCATAAAACCCAACTCAGTGAGATAGTCTGGTAGCTGACAGCATCAGGAAGGATCCGCGAAGGCGGCTCAACGTGACACACAATCAACCATGCCCTATGCCAACCATCAAGTTAGTCTGTCCTATTCTAACACCATTCCATGTTCGTGATCGTGGGTTTAAACAAAAAGTTAAACGTCGGAGGCCTGTATCACTTCCAGTTTTCCTCCGTTAGCTGACACAACGGTAAATAGTGAGTGAGTGACTTTAGTTTTACGCCGCAATATTCCAGCCATATGGCGGCGGTCTGTAAATAATCGAGTCTGGACCAGACAGTCCAGTGATCAACAGAATGAGCATCGACCTGCGCAATTTGGAACCGATGACATGTGTCAACCAAGTCAGCGAGCTTGACACCCGATCCCGTTAGTCGCCTCTAACGACAAGCATGGGTTGCTGAAGATCAATATTCTAACCCGGATCTTCACGGGTAACACCGGTAAATACTAGTAACTGGAATAGTGTTAAAAGAGGCGTTAAAACCAATTCACTTACACACTATTGCCACATCCTGGTTTGCTGGTTTGATGACAAGGACGTGACACTTCGAACCTGTTCTTACCAAGACTCCTATTGGGAAATCTAAAGAGAAAAAAGCATGTTGATGAAGTATTCGGGTAGTGTTTACAGTTTATTCAGTCAGACATAACGGGTGTAAAACAATCACGATCACAGCACACACAAAAATATAACAATTTCATATGAGCACGAAAGGTACTGTTTATACAGTCGAACCTTGTAGCGTCGAATTCTCAGTTCTCTCGAACCGTCTCTATGCATTATCTTCGGTATGTATCTAAGAATTTCATCATTTTTACTCAGATTTGTTGAACAAGATGTGTTGCATTCCTGTTGTCTCCGACTCTTTGATAATAAACTCTTGAACCCCGGATAACTCAAACTTTTTTCCGGGTCGCCATTGTATAAACATAATCCAGTTGGATATGTCCAGTGTATTTGCCACTGCAGTTGTTACAACTACATCCTGTTGAAGTGCAGTCAAGTGTTCATTTCACGACAGTACACGCAGATAATATCACCTCCTCCATGGATTGCACGTGCAGCACGGCGTCCTCTTACTGCAAACCACGTGATCAAAAAGAGATACGTCAGATGGACGTGAACGCCGCTTCGACAGTTGGTGACATGTGTTTTGGACCGGACAGGGAGTGAGTGAATGCTATTTTCAGTCAGTCATCAACAGTTTCAATGACGAGGCTTGGACAGCAAACACGTGTCTGATAGCTTCAAGACGATGCTCCAACCAACGCTGGTTGTACCGTGATACGTAATCACGCAATCGGCTCTCACGACAGTCAAGGGTGTATGGGACGTATATTTACAGGCGATATTCCGATGACAACTAGCAGGTGACTCTCGACTCTGGGAGGATGGTGCAGACAGCTGACTCTCGTCTTCATGTAGTGTTCTCTGAGGCAGAGCTATAGATAAGCTGCGTATAATGCGCCATAGAAAAGTTGAAATAGGCAAGAAAAATAAATGCCAGCGTATGAAAAAACACTTAACATTTACGTTTACGCTATGTCAAAATAAGTATAGGATAAAGCATGACCCTCGGGCATTACGAAGAAGTAAGGCTGTTTTCCCTCGAGGAATGCCCTCGGGTCTACGGCTTATGAATGCGTTTTTACCCACTACATCAAAATTATGTTGGTATTGTTTCAATTAAAGCCAATTAAAACAAACTTTTCCATCTCCAAATATTCGCGATTAAAATATTCTTGAATAATTCTAAACGCAATTAATAATACCAGTCATGGTTTGTTAACCCTTCACTGGTTGGCCAATCTATAAATAGCGACCAATCAAATAGCTGTTTCCTGCGTACATGTCCTGTAAACAAAGCAAGCATGATCGAAAGCTTCCACGCGCTCAAAGTAAAATATCTAGGTCTTTTCACGCTACAAACAGAAAACAATTCCATTACAGGACTGATAGATGAATTATTATTATGCTGTGTTTCACAATCAGAATCAATTGCCGGTGATATCTTAAATGAACTTGTAACATTAGCTATTCGCGGCGTGGAATGAAACAACACGATGGGAACAAGGTTTTGAAAAAAAGTACAGTTGCTACGTGGAAAATATAATATCCAATGTTAATTTTGCATAAAAAGGTCTTATGAGGTCATGTTGTAGTGTGTGTCAGGCACACCTCTTACACTTGTTATTTGAAATGAATACCAGGATCTTAAAAGTATGGTGGGGATCCAAAAGTATAGATACCCACTTGAAATTGGAAATACCCACTTAGGTTAAAAAGTATGGGTATCATACCCACATGGCCAAAGGGTTTTCTGGAGCTCTGCTCCGTGGCAATAGCTGAATACACCATTCTGCCTAACAACCCAGTGAAACATCTCTGACAACTGACCTCGAGGACCATCGTGCCTCGTGGTCTACAACAGGAGTGAAATGTTCATCCTGTGGTCAGTCTGCTGTGAGTACTTTTGCTGCCGACCGTCTGTAGAGGTTCCGGTCCTTCATATGCTAAAAGTACACATTTATAAAAGTGCTAGTGCTTTGAGTGCAATGTTTCACGGAAATGAACACATAGGAATGTTTACAAGTATGTGACACGCTACAATAATGTTGAATTACCTCGGATCCACGAAGACAAACGTACCCTAATCTCCACCGTATCACAGTGCTAACTTTTGCATGGATATGGGTGTTTCGCAGTGTTTTTGCACGCCAAAGTCAATTGTACCCAGAATTTCTTTCAGCCCAGCAACGGTTGACAATGTCTTCATACCAGTTTTTTGTTTGTTGTTTTTTTTAGGTTCAGATATGCACCAAAGAAATGATGCAGTGCGTTCGATCCTTCAAGTCAGTTTCCGGCTGTTCCATTGTAAATCTGTATTCTTGCTATGTATTTATATTTGATTTTTGCTCTAGTAGGTCGATCGATGAATATGATATAGAAATGCAGCGCGGAGTGCTAACGTTGGGCACAATGGTGACAGCTGTTGTCATTGTTGCTGCTGCTTGTAATTGATGAGGAACATTAGGATGATGATGATTTGGATGATGATGCTCATTCGTCGTTGTAACGCTCACTGAAGCACCTCTCACGTGCCACAGTATGGGGGACGTTAATATACTTTATTCAACACTCACAACGCCGTAATTATCTTGCGCCACTCGGCGCCACAGACGGCTGGTTGTCTTAGGCGTCCATATTCGCTGTACACAGTTACCTCCCTTGAGTACACCAGAAACCTATGAATGTGGGTTTGAACCCTGGTTCTCCCCGAATACGTTTCTTGGGTTTTCAGCACCGCATCCTTGCTTGTGGATTTCAAACGTCAGCGATAGGTCAGAGACTTCAGACATTACTCTCACATCGAGCACGCCGTGATATAACTGCTGTACTGTTCAAAGCGGCGTTAAACCTGACTCACTCACTCACAGTAAAGACAGGCAAACGTCAGAGGAAGCTGTGGTGTTGATGACTCACCCATGCTCAGATGTGTTGAGCAATCCACGTCTGATCGATAAGAACCGGGCCATAAAAACAATATTTCGCGCCCGACAGTATTTCAGATATGTCGTGACATGACAGGTAAATGAGTCAAAACGTGATGATAGCATTTGACCGGTTTCAGGCAACTCTGGACTTCGAACAAAACACGTTGAGGTTTCTGCAAGCAAAGGGGTGGAACTCTTTACACCTTGTCCAGGGCCATCCGTTGTCTATAGTATACAGCGAGAATAACACAGGCACACATGTATTCGGCTCGAAAAGTGAAGTCCGTCAGATGTGACAAAGTCTTTTCAGATACATATCTGACAGTCACAGTCAAGGTAAGACACATATGTCCAAACGTCAGAGTCAGACGGGTGTTCTGCTGTCTGATTCTGACAGCTCGTCGGAAGGCAGAGTCAGACATATTTTTAGGCTCTACAGCTAAAAATGACGTCGGCTTTGCCATAACATTCTTTGTGGAAACGGGGTGGGTGACTGAAATTGGACAGTTCCTGAAACAAACGATGGTGCTGATGTTGATTTCACAGATATCACACAACGAGTTTGTGGACGGAGGTTGAAATGGTTGGTGGTGTTAGGCCTTTGGTGGTAACGTCACGCCGTCGTCCGTATTGGGTAGGGCCATCTTGTCTCCTGCAGGGGTACACGCCTGTTTGGCAAGGAGCTTCATCTTCTCCAGCTGCTCGTGTAGTTTAGCTATTTCGTTGTCTTTCTGGAACATGTAAAGCAGCGCAGTAAAGATCGATGGCTTCACAAGGCATGTACAACGCACGTTTATTTTTGAAGGACTGACTGACTGAGTTTGGTTTTACGCCGCTTTAAGCAATATTCCAGCAACATCACGGCGGGGGACACCAGAAATGGGCTTCACACAATGTACCCATGTGGGGATTCGAACCCGGGTCTTCGGCGTGACGAGCCAACGCTTTAACCACTGGGCTACCCCGCCGCCCCTATTTTTGAAGGAAAGTTGAATTGATAATTATGACTTTCATGCTTTCTGTCAGATTTCCTTGAAGACAAAGTAAGTATATGCTTATGTTACATTATACTGTTTGGTCATTCGTCCGTTCATTGTTGTTGTTTTTCATTTGGAATCATTTGACAATACCAGGTATGAAATACACGCGCTCTATATAAAATACTGTGGTAAAAACTAATTTAAGAATATCCATTTTGGGTGTGACCACAATTTCTGTCGATACCGAAGAGGCATGGAAGACACCAGATGATTTATTTTCCAAATGCCAACCAAAGATTCTCAGCTGATCATGGTCCTGCCGTAGGCGTCCTTCCTCTAGAAACAACCGGCCATGGCGGTCCAGCAATATTATGCGGCCTCAAAAAGGCTTTAACAACACGTGATGCATGATGGCGGACATTATAATGATGCAGAGTGACGTCCCTGCATATGCGAGTGAGTGAGTGAGTTCAGTTTTACGCCACACTCAGCAATATTCCAGCTATATTGTGGCGGTCTGTAAATAATCGGGTCTGGACCAGACAATCCAGTGATCAACAGCATGAGCATCGATCTGCGCAATTGGGAATCGATGACATGTGTCAACCAAGTCAGTGAGCCTGACCACCCGATCCCGATGGTCAGTCGCCTCTTACGACAAGCATGGGTTGCTGAAGATCAATTCTGCCCCGGATCTTCACGGGTCCCCTGCATATGCACAAAGGGTAGAACAGAACCTTGAACAATGTCTTTCCCTAGCGTACACTGTCCAAATTCATTTTGTCATAAACATGTATGACCTGTGTTCCTGATAAGTACTGGCAAACAAGGACAAGTTGGACCGGCGCAGAGAACGCGTTTACGAGAAGTAGGCGGTGCATGGCAATGAGCAAACCCATTTGGTTTGTGAAAGGTAGAGCAGATTTAGGCTAGTGCACGTGCATTTCATGACGATGAAATTGATTCCACGCGTAGCTGCACACGCCTTGCTCATAAGACAATCTCGTCGGTGTAGCAAGTCGCACTACACTTGATCGCGGACAACCTCTGGCCCCTTCGCTAACAATGGCAAGCGCCGGTGGGCGGCACTCATACATGCTAATACGGGTCAATTGTCAGGTCGGTGCTCAACTTATCCTTGTTTGCCAGTAGCGCTGATAAGCAATGCGGTTACACTAGCAACAATTGGATTCATCTAAGAAATGTCCAAAGTGACAATGAGGGAGTTTGAAGTCTAGTCCGTAGATGCACCATTTGAATACGGTGTTCATGTAGACGTGACGAAACAGGTGCACTGCTGGCCCGTGGCAGGTTACACGTGTTGCCTTGCTTCAGATACCATCTTCAGACAGATGGTGATTTTGTGTTTCGATCAACATTAAAGTTTCTGGTAGCTTGTGTGTCGTTTATTTTCACAGCATACCCAAAGAGTTTCGACATGTAATTTCAGCAAGCCGTGCTGTGATTATTATAAAGTGACATGATAATCACAGCACGGCTTGCTGAGATTGAAATACGCAAATATTCCGTGTACCGTGCATTAATATGCACATGCAAATTCTGAATCATTAGCTTGAGGTCAAAATTTGTTCCCGAATATATAATGAAAGATGCATCATTTAATTCTGAATACACATGTTTAACTGAACTTTACGTGAAGAACAGTTACTTAAGTAGAATCGGACTTTTCCAGCAGGTAGGTCTTGGATATCGGGGTTACCGGTTTGTGAAGTTCTATTTTTCGTGTGCAACTCTTTGAATGGGTAACCTATCAAGGGGGTCCAGTGGAGAGTCAAGGCCATTACAAAGATGGTGTCTTCGAGTTATCCGTATTTCGGGTCAAGCGGTGTGCCGCAATAAGGCCAAGGAATATAGCAACTACCGGGTGCATAATGATACGCTGCTTTTACGACATATCGAGGTAAGGTAGTTTAACCTACGACATCCGTGTGATGGGGTAATATCTACACTACAACATCCGTTTGATGGGGTAATATCCGTGTGATGGGGTAATATCTACACTATAACATCCGTGTGGTGGGGTAATATCCGTGTGATGGGGTAATATCTACACTACAACATGCATACTCATCGCAACAGGAACAAAGAATCTTGTTTATCGCCTACTTGTTTCAATATGTGGGACGGGTCGTCAACGGTGGAGATGTGAGTTGACGTAACCGTCGCTTCCTTTCCAATCGTCAGTCCCCGGTCGGGTTCGGGATTTAAGCGGTGATTCCGATACTGCAGAACCTGAAAAGAAGCTCTTGTTTTAGATAAATTCACTGTCATCGTCGTCTTTGCCATTATTGTTTTGTGGCGGTGGGGTAGCCTGATGGTTAAAGTGTTCGCTCAACAAGCCGAAGTCCTGGGTTCGATTCCCCACAAGTGTACAACGTGTCACGCCCATATCTGGTGTCCCCCGAAGTGATATTGCTTGAATATTGCTAAAAACTAAACTCACTCACTCACTCACTCACTACTGGTGTTGTCGCTGCTGTTGTTATTATCGTCATCGTTGCCGTTATGTTTAATTTGATCGTCATAAACTTTTAGGGAAATTAAGTGAGTGAGTGAGTATGGTTTTGCGCCACTTTTAGCAATATTCCAGCAGTATCGGGGGACACCAGAAATGGGCTTTACACCATGTACCCATGTCGGGAATCGAACCGGGTCTTCGGTGTGACGAGCCAACGCTATAACCATTGGGCTATCCCACCGCCCGTAACAGGCAAAAGAAGATTAACTTGACAACTGTTTAATTATGAAAACAGTAATGCCATTTGAACTCGTCATATCCATAGGCTAAATCCTATGTTCGAATCACAGACTGAACAGGATGAGGATCCTTACTACGTCATCAGAACCATGCTGTGCACGCTCGTGTGTTTCGCAAAAGGCAATAAACGTCAACGTCATTTTCGGGCCTACCTCACACTATAAAGCTGCGTCATCATCAATTGCTACCCATCTAACACGCAACGTTGTCACAACGTTAGTAGTACGTCATTTTATAACGTCATGTCAGAACGTAATAACAACGTTGCAAATTTACGTTGAGGAAACGTTATGCTTTGAGCTCCTCACAACGTTACAAGAACGGTTCTTATAACTTGGTGTCACAATAGAGTTTTCTGTAAAACTTTTCACTTTGAGATTCTTTCATCACTATTCAGCTACAGTTTCAGAAAACACACGACCAAAACAATATGCAAATTGACGAATAAACATTGAAGCGAATTTCTCCTTTGTTTCTTATGTACTGTTCACTTCTGGGAAAACTATTCAACTAGTAACGTTAAATACAACGTTAAGGCAACGTAAAATACGCCAGCATCAAATAATTTAACCTTGTGGCGATGTAAAATGACGTATCACAACGTCAGGCCACAACGTTGTGACAACGTAAAAGGGAGTCCACAGCATAATGTTGTAACAACGAAAACATAACGTTGTGGCAACGTGAAATTGTTAGCTGGCTAAACATCACTCAATCACACTGGAATGTCGACGAGAGAGACCGTCCGCAAACAAAACAATGACATCACATCCGGGTGTCAGATGACCACTTACTTTCGGTACAAATATGATACACTGAACGGCCGTGGCAGTGATGAAGTAGATTGTTGCCGTGATGCCGTACTCGAGGTTAGGTTGCAAGGTCATGGTGGCGGTGATGATGATGTGGAGTATTCCAAGGACGGCGGAGTTGTAGATGCACACGGCGATGTTCTTGGAGTCGTTGAGAGCTTCCACTTTCACCTATATATATCAGTGCATACAAATATATTGACTCCTAAATTTCTGCCAGCATTCATTTTCAGATGATATTTTCCAGGGCCGTAGGCATCAAAGTATTGATCTAACACTCTTTCAATGTGGATAGTGCCCTCCCTATTAAGAAACGTTAACTACGGCCGTGTTTTCTGCATGGGGTCTAAGAACTATTACCATGATCAAACGATTTAAATATCATACAATGTCCTCATAATGTGAGAGAGTGAGTTTAGTATTACGCCGCACTCTGTAAATAATCGGCGGTCTGTAAATAATCGATTGTGGACCAGACAATCCAGTGATCAACAGCATGTGCAGCCATCTACGCAACTGGGATACGATGACATGTGTCAACCAAGTCAGCAAGCCTGACCACCCGATCCCGTTAGTCCCCTCTTACGATAAGCATGGGATACTGAAGATCAATTCTAACGCGGATCTTCACGAACTATTTGTTGGAAACAGCTTACTGAAGAAATACCAAAATCCATTGCATTTTTGTTAAAAAATAGCAGACTAATGTCGATGAACAGGACTTGAAAACCAATTGCAATGAGGCCCATAGTCGACCGATAACTGGCAGCCTCTATTAAGTTTCGACACTGCTAAATATATTTCCGTTTGGGTACTTTCAGAATATACATACTTACTTTTTGTGCACGGACAAACTAAAGGCTTTAATTAATACACATTCAACAGAATACGCCACGATAATCTACAATGTACGGATCCAGTAACAACCAAGGGAGGCATTACGCGTTACACGGTTTGCTCCATATCTACCAGCGGTGTCATGTATTGGCGGAACCGCGCCTGTAAGGCTCGCTAGGCGCTACTTCCGGTATTGAGCTGGTTACAGACTCCCTTTCCGTGCGCCAACTTGCGATATTATGCGAGACGGGACCCAGCTTACTTCCGGTACCAGATTTCCGGTATCATGCGTATATTCATGAACGAGTTCTGGTTCCAAATTGCGCGACCGCCAAATATGACTTCACTAGACTGGACCAAGTGTACAGCCATGTTAGACGTAATAGTTGGTTAATTTGGGGATGTTTAGATCGGAAATGTTATTCCTGCAAGCATTATCGGTTCCTTACTGCCAACTGACAACCATGAGACCATTCGAAAAGGTATGAAACATTGTTTGTCAACGGAAGTAGTAAGGTCTCGCGAAGTGCCGTCACCTACTGCAAGAAATTTTGGAACATTTTAAAACGCTCTCTTCGAAAAAAAAACCGAACATTCTCCAATATCAGCTGATGTTTTTATTGACTATTTTAAATCACTTTTAAATCCTAATAAGCCTAAAGAAGATGAAGCATTTGATTATTACGTTAATAATTTCATAGCTGAACATTCATGTGATGATTGTGTATCCTCAAGTGGCATAGATCAGTTGCTGACTAATCCTATCTCTGATTTAGAAATTACTGAGGTTATTAAGAAGTTGCAAATTGGGTAATCCCCCGGAGATGACGGAATTCCTCCTGAATTCTTCAAGTTAGGACACTCATAATTGTTGTGTTTTCTAAATTCATGGTTTAACTCAATATTGAATACTGGCATATTTCCTGATTCCTGGAACTCTGCATTAATTAAGCCATTATTTAAATCAGGACCTACAGCTGATCCAACAATTATAGGGGTATATCGCTTTTAAATGTATTCACATCCATCCCAGATAGTCTTCGTGCATGGACTTATCTGAATGATATATTAACAGAAGCTCAAGCTGGCTTCAGACCCGGCTATTCCACAGTGGACAATATATTTACTCTGCAAACTCTCTGTTCTAAATATCTCTCAAGACCAAAGGGACGATTTTTTTGGTGATTTTGGTGATTTTAGAAAGGTCTTCGATTATGTAGATCGTTCAAAACTTTTATATATGTTGTTAAAATCAGGTTGCCATGGAAAAATGTACAATCTTCTGCATAATATGTATTCATCTGTTAGATCTTGTGTGAATATTGGAAACTGCAAAACTGATATGTTCTTCACTAGTTTACGTTTACGGCACGGATGCATTTTAAGTCCTCTTCTTTTTATTCTTTTCATTGACGAACTTGCCACAGAAATTCATAATAACTGTAAACATGGTGTTTTTATATCTCCAGATATTGAGGATATTATGATGTTATTATTTGCAGATGATGTTAAGATGTTCTCTTATACTATCATTGGTCTTCAGCAACAGTTAAATGTTCTCCATGAATTTTGCACGAGATGGGGTTTAAGTTTGGATTTAGAAAAAACAAATGTTATTTTTCTTAGAAATCGCGGTGTTTAAAAAACAGGAAGAAAAATGGTACTATGGAAATGTAAAATTTAAATGTGCTTCATATTATAAATACCTGGGTTCGATATTTTCCTCAAGATTAAATTGGTCAACAGCGTGTAAAGTTTGGCAACACAAGCATCCAAGGCAGCCTACTCTGTTTATAGTTTATTCAAACCTAGCTCTTTTATTTCTTTCCAAAATGCTTGTACCATCTTTGATTGTAAAATAACGCCTGTTCTTTTATATGGATCAGAATTTTGGGTTATGACTTATTTTCATTGTATAGAAAGGGTACAAACTACATTTTGAAAACAATTTCTTAATCTAGGTAAATTTGCTTCTAATAAGGCTATATACGGAGAAACTGGAAGATGTAATATGTTTGTGTTCAGCAGAATAAGAGCAGTTAAATATTTGTTAAAGTTGGTAAAAATGCATTACTTAGGTACCCTAAACAGTGTTATCGCTTTTTTAAATCACAAGATGATATTGGTAAAGTTAACTGGGTGTCTAATGTTAGACTATTACTCTTTTCTACTTTATTTCCTATGTATGGCTTGCGCAAGGGGTTGGCAATGAAGACAGTTTTATATCTCTTTTCAAACAGCGGCTATGTGATATTTTTCCATTCAAGAGTGGTCTATGTCCATTAGTACTTCTAGATATTTAGAATATTATGCCTCTCATAAGTCGTTGCTAGAACCAGAATCGTATATTTTAGATTTTCATGATAAACCTTTGATGAGAGCTTTATATAAATTAAGAATCGGTTTTCATGATTTCTGTGTAAACAGGGCACATAAATGTCACAGGTTCAATTGTTCACACAATGTACAGTACAGCACCACTGGCACATTTTACAATTTTTGTCCCTAACAGCTTGCCATACAGATGAGCTGGCTGCCGGCAGGTACATCCTGGGCTCTGGCACATGCTGCTCCTGCAGTCTGTGCATTCAGGTGATATAAAAGCTGCATGTGCCATGTGCCCGGCACACACCATGCTGGCAGTGGCAGCCCTTCATGTAATTTCCCTAATTACAGGTACGCAAGTTTGTTTGAATTGTTCATATTATAACAATTTCTTATAATTAAGTCAGGTGTAACCCTGTAGTTAAATACATTTAATGGTTTAGTAACCATTATCTTTCAGATATATAATATTTTATGTAAAATGTCACAATAGTTTTACTTGTTGTATTGCTATATGGACACACCATGCTGGCAGTGGCAGCCCTTCATGTAATTTCCCTAATTACAGATACATTTATGGCACGGTCGTGTTTGAACAACCCCAAATGGCAGAATAAAGCGATTAAACACCAGCCCAGAGGTCGTGTTATTAAACCCTGCGACATTTTGGCGCCCAACGTGGGGCTGGTGTTCTCAACAACTTGACAGCCATAACATCAACATGACCGCCATAACTACATGACTGCCACAGCATCATGACAACTTTAACCACTGGCCATGGGCATCGATTCATCGATGGATACAGTATTCCTGTCAGTGTTCTGGTGACCAGGTTTTGTGGTAGGGCCCGATAACATCATGATACGTTGCCGGCAGTAGTACTATTAACAGTACGTCGAGTACTAGTACTACCCGTCATAGGTGTGCACACTCGCGTTTCGCGTTCGCGATGTACGTAATATATTGTGAACAGACATTTATTTGACATTTTGGAATGACTTTCACCTGTGTTATTCTGTGACTGACTATATTGTTTCATGAATACTATCCATGGATTGCTTCGCGTTTCCGCGTGTGGAAGTTGACTTTTTGTGATGCTTTTATCACATGGACTTTTGTTGAACATTTGATCAATGTATTGACCATTCTGTTTCTTTTTCAGCTGTTCACTATAGAATGTTTAATTGAATTTCACATGTGTTTAATGTTTATTGTGCCATTTGTTTAACATGCCACTGAAGTAATATGTGAAGTAGTTCTGGGTTGTGACATTACTGCTTTCATGTTCGGAATAGTTGAAAATGAGTTTATACTATTTACACAGTGAATAGTTTTGAAATGTTTTACTAGTCCATCTTAGCTTAGACTTTTGATAGGAGATTGAAAGCTTGGTGCGAGGGTGAGAATTGTCATAGGGAAATTATCACTTGCCTAACTGTCTTAACAACTGCATTGCACATTTTTGAATTATGAACACAATTTGATACCATGTTGTTAATACTTTGACTTTGTTTTTCAGAGCTGACAGTCTTGGGGAACCAGATGTGATTCTTATCCTTATTAGTGGAAGTTTGATGTTTGCCGACTGATGTATTTTAGATTTTCAGGACTTGTATTTATTTGTCTACTTTTATCACTGACCCTTTCAGCAATGGCCACTGGCGGAACTGAAGAGGATTGGGAATCCAAACGTAGCAAGGCTGGAGTTAGTGAGGATGATATTCAAAAGATGATCCAGTACATAGAGACTTCAGGATATCAGGTTCAACCTTCCAGTCCCAGACATCGGGCAAGTTCTCTGTTACCACCTAACACACAATACATTCAACCACCCCGTATATCTGTATTCTCAGGTAGTGATGCCAAGGGGGGAGTCTTCGTTTGAGAATTGGATGTTTGAAGTTAAGTGCTTGTTGAATAGTAGGGATTATCCAGCCTCTATCTTAGCACAGGGCGTTAGGAAGTCGTTAAAGGGTGAAGCTGGTAGAGCTGTCCTTTTGCTTGGTGAA